GATTTGTATTCTATTTACTTTGTTCTTTCTTTTTATTTTTTGAAGAAAAAACTTTTATTGGAAAAAAATAAATCAATTGAACAGAAAAAATTAAAAAAAGAATGGTTTTTTTTTCATTTGTTTTAATAGCCGATTCTATTTATAATAACATCAAAAAGTAACCTAAAATAATAACACCAACACATCACCACTATAACAACAAAAACATTTCCTGCATCACTCTTTAAATTTTCATTTACATAGACACGCACAACAATCCTTTATTTTAATTTATTCTATCTCATTTCTACCACCATTATTGCAAAGTGTTTATATTTAATATATTTGTAGTAATATTATAGTAGTTATGGTTTTTATTATGTTGTGTTTTAATTATCATAATAATTTTCATTAAAAACTGATAAAACCCACTTAAACCCCACAAAGACACTCATAGTGTCTCATTGGAGGAAAAAAAAAAACAAATATAAAAAAGAAAAACCACTAAAATAACCACACACACACCCACCCTCACAAAAATACAATTTTTTTTAAAAAAAGAAAAACTATAAATAATTTCTCATTATTACCCCAACTACTATTTCCATCAACACAACCATCATACCATCAAAAAAAAAAAGTTATAAATTTTCAAAAATCAAAAAAAAACTGTTTCGCCAATTGCCACCACCACCATAGAAAAACTTCACCCTATTTTTAAAAATTGGCAAAAAAAAAAAAAAAAAAACATTTCTCACACCCCACACAAACCATCAAAAGATACATAAAAACACACATCACACACTCATACACAAAACAAAACATTGCAACCAAGATTGCACCATAGGATAAATTTTCTTTTTTTTTAATTTTTATAATTTTAATTTATTTTAAAAAAATAAGAAAATCAACATCTCATTCCAGCAAGATAAAGTTTTTTTTTTTTATATTAACTGTTGTTATTTATTGTGTGATTGTTAAAAATAACTTAGCGCTATCATTCCCACTATTTTTATACCCCTTTTGTTTTTTATATCTTGGGTTACACAACCCTCTCCAAAATTACTATTGTTGTTTGCTTCAATACATCATAAACATTATTATTTTAAAAACTTAAAAATTACTATATTTTTTTTAAAAAAAAAATACCAACATCAACAATAATTATTATTATTTTATTTTTATTTTAATTTTAATTTTAATTAAAATTTTTAGAAATACTATTTTTTTTTTTTTTTTTTTTTTTTTTCCCCTCTTCCAATGGGAATTTTTATTTCCTCCCATGGGGGGCATAGACAAAAAAACCCTCTATAATTTTTTATTTATTTGTTTTTAAAACTTTAGGAAGTTAACTTTTTTTATTTTTATTTTTTTTTATTTTTTTTCAAATTAAATTTTTAATTTTTCAAAAACTCATTGGATTTTTTTTTTATAAATTTATTTTTTAATTTCATACCACCCATATCAATATCATCAAAATTTTATTTTTATTTATTTATTTATTTATTTATTTATTTATTTATTTATTTATTTATTTATTTATTTATTTATTTATTTATTTATTTATTTATTTATTTATTTATTTATTTATTTAGTTATACTTAAAAAAAAAAAATTCTAATTAATTTTAATCTTTTAAATAGCACCAAATATATTTAAAAAAAAAAAACTCAACATATAATATTACATTTTTATAAAATTACAAAAAATTAACAATCAAGTTAAATTTAATATATCACTACACTTATATAATACATTTTTCCCAAATATATAATAACACAATGGTACACAGACTCAATAACATTTTAAATAATAATAATCTTGATGACGAAGAAATTGCCATCAATGAAATCCAAGATCTCAAAATAATTTCACCTTCTCTTAGATCACCAATGGCAACACAAAATATGAATAGCTTTAGATTTGGTAACCTTAATAATAATAGCAATATCAATATCAATAGCAATAACAACAACATTAATAATATGTCCAATAAAATTCAAACAGATATTATGGAAGAAGATATTCTTGAAATTGATGATTCACAGCCATCATCACCCCAAAAGAAATTTAAATCATCAACTGATGAATTTGAAACTATTTCAAATAATAATATTAATAATAATAAATCATTACCACAACCAATATCATCAGTTTTTAATAAAAATAATTTTAATTTTGAAATGTTAAATAAAAAATATCAACAACAACAACAATCCTCAAATTCATCATGGTCTGTAAATAATAATAATGGTAATAATAATAATAATAACAATGGTAATAATAAAAAGGATCAAGAAGTTATCAATAGCGAAAATGGTGAATCTGATTCAGATTCAGAGTATGACGATGATGACTATGAAGAAGATGAAAATGATTTTGAATTTTCATCAAAATTCGATGAAATGAAAGGCCACCCATCATCAAGTCCTAATAATCTTTTAAACTCTCCACCATCAAACACCTCACCAAATAGTAAACTTCAAATCTATAACTATCAACAATTATATAGTCCAAATAACAATCACCATAATCATTCACATCTTAGTCCAAATGGTCATCACCATGTCCCAACAACTCCAATCACATCACCAAAAACAAATCCGGGTACTCCATCAAGACCATTCCCAACCCTTGATTATAAAATAAAGTCAGAGTCAGTTAAGCAAAATCCAGATGGTACCTATAGTTGTCCATATCCAACTTGTAATAAAACTATTAAAGGTAATAAAGGTAATTTATCATCACATCTTAGATGGCATAGAAGACTTGATGCTGAGGCTGGTGAGCTTCGTGATTCTAATCCAGTTGATGAAGGCGAAGAAGAATTTACCACTCCAATCAAACCATCACAAAGAGGCATTCAATTAAGAAATCAAATGATTCGTTATGGTTTAAATTTATTTAGACAAGATAGCCAAGGTAAATACCTTTGTTTCTTTGATAATTGCAATTTACGTATGCTTACAAATTTTTCAAGACACATTGCTAAACATGAAAGAAAGAATGACCGTATTAAACCAGATTTGGTTTCACTCATTCCTACCTCACCATACCAACCATCAAACAACATGAGAAGATCTCACTCATCACCATCATCACCAACTACTCTATCCTCAAACTTCTCACCACTTTTAATTCATAATAGTTTATCAAGTGCTGCCGTTACCCCAATTTGCCAATCACCATTAAACCAATCATCACCATTTTCACCACTTCAAACTAGCGCCTCACCATCGATCACCTCATCCCCAATTCCAAATGGTTCTATTGGAGATCATAAAAATAAAAGAAAATTACATGTTAAAATTAGTAGTCCAAATCCAAACTCTAATGGCAATCACAATAGTAACAATGCCACAATTTTAACTCCACATAGTGAACCATGTACACCAACTACTCATAAAATTAATCCATTTGCTCAATCACCATCATTCCAATCACCCATTTCATATATCCATAAAGATGGTGGTATTATTAGTATCACTGATAATAAGAGCAAAGGAAAGGTTGATTCTTTAATTGCAGGTGATAATAACCTTTCAATTTTATCATCCCCACAACCAAGCTTACTTTTATCTCCATCTCAAAGTGATTTTTCAGCTGTTCCAAACTCACCAACCTCACCATTAAGATCATCAAGATATATGAACACTCCATTATCACCATTATCTCAATCAACTCCATCACTAACCAGCTCACCAATTATTATTAACCCAATGAATAGTCTTGGAAGTACTTCAAACAATCTTTTACCAATTCCAAACACTCTTACCAAAGATAAAGATATTTCACTTATCGACAATAACAACAAAGATAGCAACAATGATGACGACAAAGAAAACAATAATAGTATTTTTGCTTTAACCCAACTTGCCAAACCAATTTTAAGAAACAATGATATTCAATGGGAATTTAGAAGAGGTCCTCTATTAAATAAATCCAGCCCATCATCCCCAACCTCACCATCAACTTCACCATCATCTCCATTTCAACCATCAATCGTCCCATCATATAATCCATTAATGATGAAAAAGAATAAAGGTGAAGAAGAATTTATTGCAAAATCCCTTTTAGACCTTAGTCATATAAACCATAACGATAGCGATTAAACTATAAAAAAAATGTAAAAAAAAAAAAAAAAAAAATTCAAATCTCCCAAATCCAATAATTCTTTCAAATTGTATATAAAATGTGTATAATGTATTTTTACCAATAAAAAAAATTCCACAAATCAAAAAAAAAAAATAAACAACAAAATATAATAATATCATCAACACCGCAACAATCAAACATCAATCATACCTTAATGATCATCAATCTGAAAATATTTAAATATAAAACAAAAGAATTGGAATAGTCAACTTTTCTTTAAGTCAAATTGATATTATTATTATTAAATTTTAAAGGAAATTTTAAAAAAAATATATATATTTTCTTTCTTTTTTGTAAATAAAAATAAAAAAATTTTTAAAAAAAAAACCATTTTAAACGTTGTGTACAAAATTTAATTGTTTTATTAATTGTTTTTTTTGTTTGTTTTTTTTTTATTTTGAATAATTGGTCCATTTACCACCAGCTTTTGAATAAAAATCCATTGGATAAACTGATTGCCAATCAATAGCGCCTAAACAAACTTCTGCTTCGTATGGATTTAAAAGAGGTGTAGTGAAAGCGTAGCCCCAATCAATTGATAAACGTGGACATGCAATTTGAATCCATGCTTCAATATCAGAAAACATATCTAACTTTGCTGGGAAAATTTCTGATAAAAGTACTACTGTATATTCTTTATTATTTGTTTTCATGAGATTCTCTAAATGTTCCAAAATTTTAGGGCTACCTTGTCTACCTAATGTTCCTAAAATAATTCCAAATCTTTTTGCATTGGTTGCTTTTTCTATAGCCTCTCTTCTAATTTTGTACATTTCTTCAAAGTCATATCTTTCGAGAGAGAATACTTTTGCATATGGGTCATAACGATACGCTTTAACATGTGGATTTGATATCATTATTGATTCTAAATGAAATCTACCATCTCCTAAATAAACAACAATTTCGCTGTCTTCTTCGCTTAATTTATTTATTTTTGGTGATGTACATCCTAAAATTTCACCTGGTGATAATGGTTTTTCTTGTGGTATAAAAATATTACTAAAATATTCTGATAATGGTTCTTTTGATGACTAGATTAATAAATAAAAAATAAATTTATGTTAGATACATATAATTATTATATTATCTATAACATATTAAAAAATAGTTACTTGAAGTGATGCAGAAAATTGAATAGTGGATACCATAATTAATTTTTGAGATTGTTTAAAATTGAACTTTAAAGTTTCGATAAAATGATTTAAATCGAATTGGATATCTACAAATACATAAAGCATTCTAATTTCACTAACATCGATTGGAACTAAACAACTATGACCATAATGAACCATAAAATCTGCACCTAATGAACGAGCTGTATAATCATCAACACAACATGCACCATATGTAACATCACCCATAATAATAGTTTCGACATTTGCAAACTTTTCGACAATATCTGAGATAATACAACTATACATTAATAAACCTTCTGGAAATTGTAATGCCACTCTTTTGGAGTTGGCTTGTTTTAATCTCCAAATGGTCTTTAAAATTTCAAAATTATAATTGCTTGGTAATATTTTAACTGCATTTTGTAAATCAACATTATTTAAAATTTCGTCTGGTATTTGCTGTGCTGCCATTGCCAATCCTCTGCCAAAAATTTTAACTTTTTCTAAAATTATAAAAATCAATATATTAATATAAATGGAAAAAATGAATTTTATAAACATGAAAAATTATTACTTTCAGTGGTAACCATATCTTTTGTATTTGGGTCTGCTGCTGCTGCTGCTTTAATTTCTCCGCCTTCAGCTGCTGCTGCCGCAATTTTCTTTTTCCCAACGAATCTTCTCTTTAGTGTAACTGATGTACCCTGGACTGGTGCCGTATTATTATTTACATTATTATTATTATTATTATTATTATTGCTGCTAGATTCATTATCTACTATATCAACGCTATTGTTATCTGACATTTTATATTTGTTTTTATGTCTTCGTTTTTTTTAAACAAATTAAAAAAATATTAAATTTTAAAAAAAAAAAAAAAATTATTTTTTTTATTTTTAAATTATTTTTTTTTATTTTAAATATTTAAAATTTTTTTAATTTTCATTTATTTTTATAATTTATAAAAACAAAAAATAAAAAGATTCATAAAAATCATATATTTATCTATTTTCATCTTATATATTTATAAAAATGGGTCGTTCTAAATCTCATAATAAAGCATATATTACCATGTCCGAATGGGTAAGCGACTTTGGTGGAAAGACTGCCAAAGAAAAGAGAAGCTCATTTAAACCATTACCATTTTATTGTTGCAGTTTATCACTACAGCATTTAGAAGAGCCTGTATCAAATGAAAATGGAAATTTATTTGATTTAGAGTAAGTAAATACAATACAAACTTCATTTCTTTTTTTTTTTTTTTTTTGATCATTATTAACATTGTCTTTTAAAATAGAAATATAACACAGTTTTTAAAAAAGCATGGAAAAGACCCGATTACTGGTAATCCTGCAACTATAAAAGATTATTTCCCAATTAATTTTTATAAAAATGAAAATGGTATGTAAATTATTTTAAAGATTTTTTTTTTTCAATTAAAACTTGGTTATTAATATTATTTATTTAAAGATGAATACCATTGTCCAATTTTAGAAAAGGTTTTTACAGATTTTAGCCATATTGTAGCAATCAAAACAACTGGGAATGTATATTCATATGATTCAGTACAAAAATTAAATATTGAAGCAAAGAATTGGATAGATTTGTTAACAGATAAACCATTTAACAAATCTGATATAGTTACAATTCAAGATCCAGTAAATAGATCGTCAAAAAATACAATGGGAAATTTTCATTTTGTTAAAGAGGGTATAGAATTTGAAAAAGGTGAAGTAGAATCAAATGTGAATGTAAATGATGCAACATCAAGAATTTTTAAACAAATGCAGGAAAAGGGTATTCCTTTATCTGAAAAAGATAGTGAGGTTAAATTAAAACAAAAAATTCAAGAAAAAGAAGAGGAGTCTAAAAAACTAATGACCGAAGAAGAAAAAAAGCAAAAAATGTTTGAACAATTTAAAAAAGATAAAGCAGAAAAAGAAGAATCATTAAAGAAACGTGCAGTTCAAGCACCATCATTCACAAGTACAGGTTATACAAAGACACGTCTAGACGAAGAGCATCCATCACTTACTCCTGGCAAAACTACAAAAAAGAAAGGGTATGTTCAATTAAAAACAAATTTGGGTGATTTAAATCTACTATTACATTGCGACTTGGTACCAAAAGCATGCGAAAACTTTTTAGAACATTGCGAATCAAAATATTACGATAACCTTATATTCCATAGATTAATAAAGAACTTTATGATTCAAGGTGGTGACCCAACAGGTACTGGTAGAGGAGGTGAATCAATATGGGGCAAACCTTTCAAAGATGAATTTAAACCAAATTTACTACACAATGAAAGAGGTATTCTAAGTATGGCAAACTCTGGTACAAACACAAACAACTCACAGTTCTTCATCACCTTTAGGGAATGTCCTCATTTAAATAATAAACATACAGTATTTGGTAAAGTGGTAGGTGGCATGGAAGTTTTAAAGACTATAGAATTGGTTAAAACAAACGAACAAGACAAACCAAATCACAATATTAAAATCCTTGGAACTAAAGTTATTCAAAATCCATTTAGAACATTAGACGAGGAGCAATTTGAAGAGAAATTAAAACAAGAAAAAAAAAATAGAGAAAAACTACAAAAATCAGAGGTATTGGATGAACAAGTTGAAGGAAATCAAAAAGGCTTATGGTATAGTAATCCAACACCAGAATTAAAAGCAAACAATGATAAGACAGTCGGTAAGTATTTAAATAACTCTGCATCATCACCATCCTCTTCATTGGGCAAAAGATTAAATGAATTACCACCAAAAAACAATCCACTTAAAGAAACTTTAATAAAACAACAAGAACAACAAAAAAAAGTAAAAACCTCATCATATGGTAATTTTTCAAATTGGTAGTAATATATAAATATAAAAATGAATAAATAAATTTTTTTTTTTATTTTTTTTTTTTTCATATTCCTATTTATAAACATAATATTGGGTGTATAGTTTACAAAACTAAAATTATTATTAATTTTAAACTTTTATTTTAATGAACAATAATGTGGCATATTTTAAAATGAAATTTGATCTAATGTAAGATTAGCTTGTTCTTTTCCTTGGAGGATCATACCAAATACAAAGAAACTGTGTGGACCTATTGATGATTGATATGATGGTAATGTTAAATAATGGGTTTCTTCATTTTGATCTATATTCCAAATTGATCTTCTATCCTTTAAACGAAGGGTATAATCTGAATAAATATAAACTTGTTTAACGTCAAAACTTAAATTGTTTCTAACATAAACGTCATATTGGGTATAAGTTTGGCCACCTCTTTCATGAGCACTCCATGTTCCAATTACCTTTTGGTCAATTTCTATTGAACTACAGTCTATATAAATTAAAAGGTTAGTATAACTTTAAAATAAACCAAACTATATTATTTAAAACTACAGTTATTTGGGTCATGTTTATTGCATTGATAATTGTTTGATGCAAAACAACTTGAAATTATTGATAAAATTAATAATAAATAAACTAATTTCATTGTAAAGTTTTTGATTTGTTTTTTTTTTATATTAATTAATATTATTATTATAATTTTTTTTTTTATTCCTTTAAATATTTTTTTTTTATAATTTTAATTTTAAAATAAAAATAAAAAAAAAAAAATTTTAACATTAGATTTATTACAAAATATACATACACTATCAAATATTAATTTGGTGGTATTAGATTAAAAATAATATTTTTTTATTAAAAAAAACACAAATATTATTAATAAAAACAAATATTTCCATTACTATTTAAATTGAAAAATTGTTAACTATGGTTGATGCATTATTTTTGTTATTCGTTCCGCTTTATGTGGATTGAACAAAAATAATAAAAAAAATTACGTATTTTTTTTTGGGTTTCCTATGAACAAATGAACAGACATCGGAGAAAAAATAAAAAAAATAAAACCAGTGCAGAGCTTCAAAAAAAAAAAATTTTTATTTAAAAAATAATTTTTTTATTTTAATTTAATTTTTTTTTTTTTTATAAATTTTTTTTTTTTTTTTTAATTTTCATCATTTTGTTATAACTTTTATATACTTTTTATTTTTTATTTATTATTTGTCTATAATTTTAAAATTTAAAATAAATATATATTTATATTAAATATATATATATATAAAGAAATGACAAATTTAGTTAGATTTAAGGTCAACTATTACACTCGTTTAGGTCAAGAGGTTTATATATCTGGAACAGGTGAAGCTTTAGGTAACTGGGAAGAAGCAAACTCAAAAAAACTTCACTATTGCGATAATGGCGATTGGGAAACTTTAGTTGAATTTAAGGGTGATGAAAAAGAAAAAAATATTGAATATAAATACTTCATAATGGATACTAATGGTGAAAAAATTTGGGAAAGTGGTCCAAACCGTAGTTTAAATTTAAATGATTTAAATTCAAATTATATTCACGAATTTAGAGATACTTATCAAGTAAGTATTTTATTATTTTTATTTAATTTTTTTATTTTTTAATTTTTTAAATATATTAATAATTTTTTTTTAGAGCCCAACTTCAGCTGAAAATACTTATTTAGATTCATCATTCTTTAGAGAAGTTCTTTTTAGCAGAGAAAATAAACAAGCTTATTCATTAGTTAAAAATACTTCATCAGGTATGCACAAACTCTAAAAAATTTTATTGTAATCACCAAATATTAATTAATTTTTTTTTTTTTTTTATTGAACAATTTAAACAGATAAGGTCATTATTCATTTTCAAGTTAAATCAACCTATGTACCACCAACTCATTCAATTTATATTGTTGGTAGTAATAGTGCTTTAGGTAATTGGAGAACTGATAGAGCAGTTAAACTTTCAGACGAATTTTACCCAGTATGGAAGGTTGATTTAGAATTTTCAAAAGAACAATTACCATTCTCTTATAAATATATTATTGCCGATAAAACCAAATCATATGTTCACTGGGAACATGGCTCAGATAGATGGTTCACCGCTAGCACTGTCCACGCTACTGAATATTCCAATACTACCAATGAGGATCGTGACTTTTTCTTTAATGATGGTGAATTCAAAGATAGTCAATTATTAAGAACTGCAGGTGTAGCTGTACCAGTATTCTCATTAAGAAGTAAGAAGGGTTTAGGTATTGGTGAATTTAATGACATTAACGCTCTTGTCGACTGGTCACACCAAACTGGCTTACATATGATTCAAATTCTCCCAATTAACGATACAACCGTTTACTATACCTGGAGAGATTCTTATCCATACAGTTCAGTCTCTGTTTATGCACTCCATCCAATTTATATTCACATTGATTCATTAACCAAAGATCCAAAGATTTTAGCAACTGTTGCCCAACATCGTGAAAAATTAAACTCTCTTCCAGCTTTAGATTACGAAGCAGTTATGAACATTAAAACCACTCTTCTTAAAGAAATCTATGCCCAAGAAAAGAAATCATTAGGTCAAAATAAAGAATTTACAGATTTTGTTAAAGAAAACAGCGATTGGATTAAAGCTTACGCTCTCTACTCTGTCTTACGTGACACCCACAAGAGTGGTGATTTCACTACATGGCCAGTTTATTCAACAATTACTCAAGAAGATATTGAAAAAGAAACTTCACCATCATCAAAATATTATGACAGTGTTTGTTACTATTACTTTGTACAATTCCATTTACATCTTCAATTATTAGCCGCTTCTAAATACGCCGTATCAAAGAGAATTGGTTTAAAGGGTGATTTGCCAATCGGTGTAAATAGAGTTTCAGTCGATGCTTGGGTTAATCCACATCTCTTTAGAATGAACATGTCAACTGGTGCACCACCAGATGCTTTTGCTGATGATGGTCAAAACTGGGGTTTCCCAACTTATAATTGGGAGGTCATGAAGAAAGATGACTATGCTTGGTGGAGATCTCGTCTAGGTCAAATGTCTAAATACTTCCATGCTTTTAGAATTGATCACATTCTTGGTTTCTTTAGAATTTGGGAAATTCCAGCCAACTGTGTTACTGGTTTATTAGGTAAATTCAATCCATCACTTCCATTATGGCGTTCAGAGTTAGCAAATAATGGTGTTTGGGATCTCGACCGTTTAACCCAACCATATATTAGATATCACACTTTAAGAGAACATTTTGGTGAATATGCTGACTACACTGCATCTAAATTCCTTAACGAATACTCATCCAATGTCTATCAATTAAAACCAGAGTTCTCCACCGAAAAATTAATCGAACAAAATTTAACAGCCGATGATGCCATGTACAAACCAGGTCTTTTCAAATTAGTCCAAAATGTTTCATTATGTGCTGACAGTGAAGATGAAAATCGTTTCTATCCAAGAATTGAAATCACTAAAACTAGTAACTTTAATGAACTTTCAGACGATATGAAATCAACTCTTCATCGTTTATATATCTCTTATTTCTTCGAAAGACAAGAAGAATTATGGGCTCAAGTTGCACTTCAACGTTTACCATTAATTAAGAAATGTACATCCATGTTAGTATGTGGTGAAGATCTTGGTATGGTTCCAAAATGTGTTGAACCAGTTCTCCACGATCTTGGTATTCTTGGTTTAAGAATTCAACGTATGCCATCTGACAGTAACAAAGATTTTTATCATCCAAACGAATATTCCTATCTTACCGTTAATACTACCTCATCACACGATATGTCTACTTTAAGAGGTTGGTGGGAAGAAGACAGAGCTCGTGCACAAGTATTCTACAACAGAATTCTAGGTATGTTTGGCGATGCACCATATTTCTGTGAACCATATGTTTCCGAAGCTGTTATTGCTCAACACTTACATTCATCAAGTATGATTTCAATTTTCCCACTTCAAGATTGGTTTGGTTTATCAACTGAATATGGCAAGAGAGATCCAAAAGAAGAAAAGATCAACGAGCCATCAAATCCAATGCACTATTGGAGATATAGAGTTCATGTCAATCTTGAAGATTTAATCGAAGATACAGATTTTAGCAAAAATATTCAAAGATTACTTTTATCATCAAATCGTAATTTAGATTAAATATAATAAATAATTTAATAAAAGATATGAATAAATATTTATAGAAAAAAAAAAAAAACATAAATAGTTTATTTATTTAATTTACATTTTTTACAATTACATTTAAAATAATAATTTTCTTTTAATAATTTTTGTCTTTGTTCGAATGGTAAATCTTCGTTGATATAGCTAATGTTTAATTCTTGACCTTTTTTAAGTGGTAATCTATCTACAATTGGGAATAATGCCATAGAATGATTATTTTGATTAAATGCCGATTGCACATTTGGTTCACATGAGTGGTTACATGAATTTATTACTCTATACAATCCAACTCCTTTTATTGATTGTGATGATTGTTTGTTTGTTGCTATAAAATCGCCAATATCGTTTATTTGTATTTTTAATTCACTTGACTCCACTGTAATAAAGTTTTGATTTAATGGTGTTTTTGAAACTAGTGTATCTATATACTCTTCTAAAATTCCAATTGGTTCAACATTTGATGAATTTAATTTTAAAATTGAATTAAATTGGTGAAATCTTTCATTATTTATTACTATTATAAAAATACATGTTAGTATTATTTTATATTTATTGCTAAAATTATATAATTATATTACATTGATTAATAATATTAATATCTTTTTCGTTGCTATCTAAAACTGGTCTGAAAATATCCGATATCATCGACAAACTAGTTTTTTGATCGTCTGTTAATAATGTATTTGATAGGTCATAAGTAAATGCGGTGAATGGAAGTAATGAATCGTCTAATGATTTGTTATTGTTTTTAATATCTGATATAATAGTTGAAAAAATTTTCATAATTATAATTGGGAATATTTGATTTTTTAAACTAAGTTTTAAAAAAAAATTAATTAGTTTTTATTTTAAAAAAAAAAATTATATAAAACTATACACACCGACAAAATTCATATAGCTTTAACAGTTGATCATAATTTGAACATAAGATACTATGATATTGATTCCATGCTGTATTTTTACATTTTTCTGAGCAATAGGTTTCAAATTTACAATAGTTTGAACATGTTATTGATTTATCATTATTAAATAAAAATGGAAAATTTGTTTTTATATTGTCATTAAATTGTGATTTATCTATATGAATTATTTTTAAACAGTTATGACAAAATTTATAGTTATTCTAAAAAAAAAAAAAAAAGAAATTAGTGTTACGATATAATATATAATAGTTTTAAAAACTATATTTCATACATTATTGTAATAAATTGGGTCAATATTTGATACCAATGGGTTTTCTGTAATAATTGGTTGGTATGATTGGTTTGTTGAAATGTCTCTGGTTAGAAATACACTTTTACCTAAATCTGCATTGATGTAGTCTACTTTAACACTTGATATGATTGAGTTTGGGGTTGGTTCAGATTGTGACAGCATTTGATTTGAATATCTTTTTATGATTAATGATTTTTGAATTAAGTCGATTTCTTTTTTAATTAAATTTAAATCTATATTTGACTGGGACAGTTGATCTTTTTTATCATACAAAATATATAGCGATCTTAATGCTTCGTCCAACTTATTTAATTGTTTTAAGGCCAATGATTTCCTGTAATATGCCTTATACCAAGTTGGGTTGATTTTGATTGACTCTATAGCATCCGATAATGATTGTTCATATTCTTTCTTTTGATAATAAACCAAACTTCTATTGCTATAAGATTGAAAATCATTGACATCCGATTCTATTGCTTTGTTATAGTTTTCCAATGCTAAATTTAATCTATTCTCTTTAAAATATTTATTTCCCAATTCCCTAAATCCATTATCTGTATTATTATCTTCTTTTATATTATTCTCCATTATTTGTATATATTAATTTATTATTTTACAATGAAATGAAATTTAAAAAATTTAGAAAAAAAATTTAAAAAAAAAAAAAACATCAAAAAATTTAAAAAATAAAAAATTTATATGGAGTAATAAATGAATTTGTTTGGTGTAAATAAAACCTATAATAATTAAATAACTATTTTAAGAATTAATGGGGTTACGAAATAATAAAAATTATTTGTATATAAATTTAGAAAACTATACCCATATAAAACAATTTGCGCTTTTTATTTAAAATTTTTTTTTTAAAAATTTTTTTTTTAAAATTTTTTTTTTAATTTTTTTAACATTTTCATTTTTTTTTTTTTTAAATTTAATTATCGATAATTGCTATCAATTTAAATTTTTTATTATTTTAAAAGAAAAAAAGAAAAGAAGGTTAAAAAACAAATAGTTTTTTTAAGTATTTTAAATATACTTTTTTTTTTTTATAATCAATAAAAAAATGGATCGAATTGATAAAGATATCTTAAAAGATTTTGATGATAAAATCAAAGCCAACAGCAATGATGATGATTCAGATTCAGGTGACGAAAAATTCGAAAAACAGCTCAACAATATAGATTTTTATGCAGTTTTAAATATACCAAGAAATGTAAGTGGTTTTAATTGTTTTAATTACGACAAAAAAAAAAATTTATTTAAAACTAACGAAATTAAATCTATTATTATAGGCATCAGCTGATGAAATTAAAATAGCATATAAAAAATTAGCATTTACATATCATCCAGATAAGCAAGCTGATGAAGCATTAAAAAAAGAAACCCAAGAATTATTTACATTGATTACCATGGCAAAAGATATCCTCTCTGATCCTAAATTAAGAGCAATTTATGATAAATTTGGTTTGGAAGGTTTGGAGCATTCAAAAGCAATTGTAAATAAATATAAAGAAGTAGATACATTACTTAAAGCACTTGACCGTATTAAAAAAGAAAGTGAAGAAGAAAAGTTAATTGAACAATTTTCTGCCACCGGTTCACAATCAATTTCTTTAGGATATCATCGTGATTATAATCTTTTCTTTTTTAAAACTTTAAAATCAGAATCTACATTTAATGTAAGTAAATCCACGCATAAAAAAAAAAAAAAAAAACAAATTTATTAATTTAAAAGTTTATTATTTAGATCCAAACTAAAAAATTTGGTAGTTTCGAAATCATTCCCTCAATTACAAAAAAAAAGAATAACTATACATGGTTTGGTTTAGCAACAACATACAGATATGCAGTTAATTCAAATTCAGAGTTATTTTTTACAAATACATATGAAGAAATTGGAGGTAACTCCCAAACTATTGGTATAAAGTCAATGTTAACTCAAAACAGGTAAGTTTTTTTAAATATTAAATAATTAATTGGTATTAGTAAATTTTTTATTTTATATTAACATAAATTTATTTTTAGTTATGGTTCAATTTATGGTTGCGTAGAAAATGGAGTTCCAAGAAGAGCTGGAGTTATTTTAACTAAAACATTATCACCAACAGTTCAAGCAGTAGCTAGATGTGCAGTTTCAAGAGAGTTTCATACAGCATCGTTATTATTAAAGAGAGTTGTTCAAAAGAGAATATTTGAACTATCATTAGATTATCACACATTATCAGGTTTACACGCATCAATAACAAGAATAATCCCAATTTCAAAGAAATCTAAACTTTTTGTTTCAATTGGTGGATACAATGGATTAACTGCCTGGAATGATTATGGCGCTACAGGTTTAACCATCTCACTAAATAGAAGACTTTCAAAGGTATTTGAAATTGATTTCTCTATGCAAATTACTCCATCTAGATTCCTCTATGTTATTGGATTCCATCATCGTTATCAAGCTATTCAAATTCCAATTCCAATTTATAGCGATAGCGATATATCATGGAAAAGCTCATTGCTTTTCTTTACTGTACCAACTGTAGCTTATACTCTTGTTAGACAACTCGTAATTAGACCTTTACTTAGAAAGAAAGAAGAAAAAAAGATAAAAGAAAAGAAAGAGAAATACGCTGAACAAGCTAGAAAATCAAAGAGAAAGGCTGAAATGGATATATTATTGGTCTCTGTATTGGTCGAAAATAAAATTAAAAAAGAAAAAACAAAGAATGGTTTAATTATTCAAGAGGCTATCTATGGTAAAATTAACGAAAAACTCGATAGTTCCGACCCATTCAGCGCTGAATTCCCACCATATGTCGATGTCACTGTTCCACTTCAATACTTGGTTGAAGAAAGTAAATTAGAGCTTCATTCAAATAATAAAAAATCTGATTTACTCGGTTTCTGGGATCCAAGAATTGGTGAAGAAAAACAATTAAAAGTTACCTATTTCTTCCAAAACAAATTGCACAGAGTAGTTGTAAATGATAGTGATCAATTATTAATTCCTTTAAAATGTAAGTTTTTAAAATAATATTTAAAATTTAATCTTTTGCAAATATTAATATTCATTTTGTTTTTTAATTTAGCCCACCTTATTCAATAAATAATATATATATAAAAAGTTTTTTAGTTATTATCAATTATTAATTTAAAAATAATACTATCAAATAAAAATTTTTAAAAATAAAACTAATTTTCAAAATACATTTGTTTTTGTGTAAAAATAAATAACAAGATATTTCTAAAGAATAAAAATAATAAAAAAAATAATATAAAAATAAAAAAATATAATAGTTTTAATTTTTTAACAATATTATCACAGGTGGTTTAACTAAAAATTATTCTTTACTTTAAATTACAATAAAATTCTTTGATAACATTTCTAGTTGTTTCATTGTTGTTAAAACAAGGGTAGTGGTATTTGATGAATCATCTGTATTCATTTTTAAATCGTTGTTGGTGATGGATGTATTGGTATTGCAAGTTGTAGATCAAAGAAAAGAATTAGCAAAGAGAGTAATAAAATACTTTGGTTTATTAAAAGCACCTCCAAAAAGAAGGGTAATATTTAATAATCTTTTTATTTTCAATTATATTTGAAAAAAAAAAACCATTTTAAATCAAATTTAAAATTTTATTGGAATTGAAATAATTATGAGTAAAAAAAATTTTCGTAAAATTAATTAAAATAAAAAAAAAAAAAAAAAATTTTTATTTTGATATTTTTTACTTCCAATTAATAATAAAGAAAAACTTTTAAATCTCTTATATATAATAATAACTTATATATATTATTTTATTAATAATTTTAAATGGATCTTTCAAAACTAACCGTTGCTGATCTAAGAAAAAAATTAGCAAAGAAAGGAATTAGTTATATGGGCCTAAAAAGAGAAGAACTAATTGAAAGTCTTCAAAAAGAAACGTATGATTATTAAAAAAATTTTAATTCTATATAAGTTTTGATTTATTAATATTTGTTTCCTTAGACCATCCAAAACAAAAATGACCCTTTTAAATAAAAAAAGAAAAGAAATTAATGAAGAAAACAATAAAGAAAATCAACCAAAGAAAAAGAATAAAAATGAAGACAATTCACCAATTTATAATAAAGAAATGGGTATAGATGAAAAAAAATTTTGGTTAGTTTTTAGAAATATAGTTATAAAAAAAACAATATTTAGTTTTTTACGTTCAACAAGATTTAAATATGAAGAACTTTATTTGGCATCCTATATGATTCATCACAAACTATTTAGAATTCTTGAAGAAAAGGTATTAAATGGTGATTATGTAGTTTTTAACTCCTCTATAATACTAGATCAAATCTATTGTATTAAAGATAAAATTCAAAATCAAAACTTCTTTTCAATATTTTACCACAAGTATAAAAGATACTTTATTTACGAGTCTCTAAATAAGAAGATTTGTGAATACATTCAAAATATTCCTCAAATATTAGAATTGGTTAAAAACGACCCAGAAGTAATAAAAACTGTACTTGACCAAACCCAACTAAAACTTGCCAAATATTCAACAAGAACTCGGTACGAAACTGGAATTAATGAGATTCATTATAACAAAGATAATGATTTAAAAAAATTAGATCAATTTACCAAATTAAACCTAAATATAGTATCAAAGATTGGAAAATGTGGTTGCATCGAAACTATTAGATACATTCTAAATAAATTCTATCCATCGGAAGAAAATCAACTTATGTCAGGTGATCTTGTTGTTCATTTATTAAAAAAAATTGCATATATTGGCTCGCTACCCATATTCAAAATGATTCTCAATGAATTTCCTCATGTTTTTACTACATTTAGTAAAACCAAAAAAACAGAAAATAAAATGACCAATGCAATGCTTGTGCAGGTATTAAGAACTGCTATTTATGGGAATTTTTTTGAACTATCAGATTTCCTTATAGAAAACACAAGTGTAGATCCAACTCCTATTCAACTTGGAACTTCTGCAGATAACCGGATAACTTCAATTATATATGTTGCTCATTATTTAAATGGAAAGATAGATCTCTTTCAAACAGAAAGTTTATTAAAAAGTGGTTATAAAAGTTTAGTTCCTCCCAAAAACAGAGCTTCTTTAAAACAAATAAGAGAGAAAGAAATTAACAGAATAAAAGGTAGAAATTATGGTCGATATTGATAAAATTGAAAAAAAAATTAAAAATTAATAAAAATAAAAATAATAATAATAATATTCATCTTGGAATATTAGAATGTTGTGGTAAAAAAATAACAAAATACATTAAATAATAAAAAAAATTATTTGTATTTATTTTAATAACACACTTTTTTTTTTTTGATCTTTCATTTTTAATATTAGTGGTTAAATTTCTTTCTTTTTTTAAAAAATTCTATTTTTACATTTAAAAAGATTTACTAAATATATCATATTTATAAATTGTTGATTAAAACAATATTATTTTTTTTATTTTTTTTTTATTTCAAAATTTTATTTTTTTTTAATTTTTTTTTAATTTTTTTTTTAAAATTTTTTCAACACCAAACAAAATGTCTTTAAAATTTTTTTTTTAATTTCTTTATTTTTTATAATCATTTCATACTATTATAATAACTTAAATAAAATGAGCGGTGTTGTTTCTAAACAAGTCGGTGAAACCGGATCAGCCCAATACAGAGTTTTCTTCTGTAAGCTATTTATATAATAAATTTACATAAAAGAAAAAAACAAAAAAAAAATACTAACTGAATACTTTTTTTTTTTTTTTTTTTTTTTTCAAAATTATTTAGTAAAGGATGGTAAACCAGTTTCTCCATTCCACGATGTCCCATTATGGGTTAACAAATCCCAATCAGTTGTTAATATGTTAGTTGAAATTCCAAGAGGTACCAACGCCAAATTAGAAATTGCCACTAAAGAATACATGAACCCAATCAAACAAGATACCAAAGATGGTAAATTAAGATTTGTTCACGACAAATACCCATTCAACTATGGTGCTCTTCCACAAACTTGGGAAAATCCATCCGTCCTCGATGCCAGAACCAACGCCAAAGGTGACAATGATCCATTAGATGCTTGTGAAATTGGTTCAGCTCAAGCTGCTATTGGTGAATTCAAACAAGTTAAAGTTCTTGGTGTATTTGCTATGATTGATGCCGGTGAAACTGATTGGAAAATCTTATGTATTGATGTCAACGATCCAGCTGCATCATTAATCAACTCAGAAGAAGATCTTGAAAAAGTTCTCCCAGGTAAAGTTAATGAAGTTTACACTTTCTTAAGAGACTACAAAATCCCAGATGGTAAAGGTCCAAATCAATTCGCTTTTGACGGTAAATTACAAAACAGAGAATTTGCTGTTAGTGTTATTGAAGAAACTGAACACGAATGGAAATCATTAGTTGCTGGTAAAACTGAATCACCATTATCAATTGAAAACGTTTCATTAAACAACTCTAAAACCGTTACTGCTGATGAAGCCAATGCCAAACTTGGTTTTTGACTCAATAAGCAATCAAAATTGTAAATAAAAAAAAAAAACAAAAAAAAAATTAATAAAATATAAATATAAATTTAATTAATTTATAATAAATATCACAAATAATTAATAAAACTTTTAATAATTTTTTGTAGACTTTTTTAAAATCTAAATAAAAACAAAATATTTTAGAAGGTTAATAAAAATAGTTTTATTAAATTTTTGGTGTTTTTTTTTTTTTTTTTAAAATATATAAATATATATATATAAAATTATTTTATTAAATATTTTTTTTTTACATTAATTATTATATATATATAAAAAAATTAATTTAATTCGTTTATAATTGTTGTTGTAATTGTCTTAACTCTTCTAAAAATTTACTTTCATTATTAATCTTTTCAATAGCGGTTGGTGGGATAAATTCACCAGAATTTAATTTATCTTTTAAGATTTCGACTTCTTTAAGTTTTCTTTCAACGCTTCTAATTTTCTTTTCAACTGGAGTTAATTCTCTTTTTGGTTCGTCAGATTGTGGTTTTGGTGAAGTGGTGGTAGTTGTTGTTGTATTGTTGCTGCCTTTTGGTTGTTTTGGTTTTGGAGCTGATTTATTATTAACAGTTAAGTATACTTTAAAACCTGGTGGTGGTGGTGGTAACTCCATACCAGGTGGCGATCTTATTGGAGAAGCTGCAGAGGAGGCTACTTGTTGATTTCTTAAACTTGGTGGGGTATATTTGGTTGGTTGTGGTGAGGCTTCTTTTTGTTGAACGGATGGATAAATAATTTTATCATTTGGGAATGATAAAGGATTTAATGGTCTCCAGAGAGCCTGGTAGAGTTCTGGGATATCTTCTTTATAAACAACAGTATTGTCATAACGTTGAATTTTAATACCATTATCTACACGAATACGTGGTGATAAAACAGCTGTCATAAAGTGAATACTATCGGCAGCCCATTCAGTAAATACGGCACAATGTGATTGGGTACTACAAATCTTTCTGTAACGAGTGAGATCCCAGAAATCCATATCGCCTTGAAGATTTCCAAAACCACCTAAACATAAAAGCTTACCGTTTGGTGAAAAACGAATGGTATTTCTTGGATTTAAACCGAAATCAACTAATGGTTCACCCTTTAAATTGAAGAGTGTAGTTTGTGAAGGCATATTGCCATAGCAAACCATGAATTGATCTAATGTTGGGCTCCATTGTACATCGTGAATTGGTCCTTTAATGTTGAGATTAAAACTACTTCCGTCTTGAGAGAGGAACCATAAACCAGTTTCGCCATAATAGGATTTACCAGACTTATCGGTATCGGTAAATGTGTGAACAAGAATAGCATTACCCTTTTTATTCCAAAGAACCTTGGCTTCACTTGCTTTAAAGAAAGTTAAATGAGAAACATGTTCGTTAACGGTTGGATAGACATAAATACGGGCACTACCTGGGGTGCTACCTTTTTCTGGTACAAAAGTTGCTACTTTATATGGTGCGTTTCCTGGTGCAAAATCAAATGAGCTAATATCTGCCAATTTAATCTTTTTAGCTAATACACCAATTGAACGACCGTTGAAAAAGTGGACTTCATTTTGATTTAGTTTACCAGCTAAAACTTCATCGTCGGTCCATTTAATGAGTGGCCAGTTTTCTTGGTTGCAATATTTTTGTGATGACTTGTAAAGAATTTGTTTTGTTTTGATATCCCAAACGATTAAATTGTTTTCATTATTATTGTATTCTGACATTCTTTCCCATGTTAAAAGGAAACTGTTTTGTGGTGAGAATGATATCATACCAACATTTGGTCTTTCGATCTTTGAATGAACGCTACCATCGATACTTGAACAAATTATAATTTCATTAATATTGACATATGCGATTAATGTTCCATCTTTGCTGTACTCTACGTGACGACAATCTCCATTTGTGAATGATGGTAATGTTAAATTTTTCCCATATCCATTACTAGTTTCTTGATATGCAGTAGTTTTTGATCTGACAACTAATTGTAATTTTGGTGCTGAAGTGGTTGTAGTGGTTGTTTCACTTGGGGTACTCATTATTTTTTTTTTTTCTGATTTAACGTAAAATTAATTATTATTATTATTATCTAATTATTTATGAAAATTATATGTTTATTACTATTTTGATTATATATAGTTATGCTGTTTTATTATTATTATTATTATATATTGTATATATTTATATAATATTATGTACGGTGTTTTTATTATGAACGTGCGTTAAAAAAAAAATCTTATAAATAGTTTTATTTTAATCGATTAAAAAAAAAAAAAATTATAAATATATTTGAATCACTTTTTATTTAAAAAAAATAATATGCTACTATAATGTTATTGTTACTATTAATTATTTATCTATTTATTTATAATTTAATTATAAATTTTAGAGTATCCGTATTTGAATTACACAACCCAACCTAAAAAAAATAAAAAAATTTTAAAATTTTTTTATAAAAATTTAAAAAAAAAAAAAAAAATTATTTTTTAAAAAAAAAAAAAAAAAAAATAATTAGAAAATTTTTAAAAAACAAAAAAAAAAAAAAAGATCGAACTAAATTTAATTATTTATTTTTTTCACAATTTAATACAACTAATTGGATATAATTTAATTATTATTTTGATTTTATTACTAAATTTATTTAAATAATTTTTTTAAATTTTTTTTTTTTAAATTTTTTTTAAATTTTTTACTTTTTTTTTTTTTTAAATTTTTTTTTTTTTATGTAATATATATTTATCAAATAATTAACAATAATGTTTTTAAGTAAACTATGGGGTTCAGATACTACTGGTGAAAGCAATAATAATAATAATAACAATAATAATAATAACAATAATAATAATAACAATAATAACAATAATAGTGATAATAATACAAGTAGTGGTAATGCAACTAGATTTCCATCTTTTGGTCTTAATAATATTTCAGTGTCATCTGAAACATTTAAAAAATTAGGATGTAATTATCGTGTAGTTTAAAAAAAGTTTAAACATAGATACTGATTTATTCTCCATTTTTTTTTTCCTATAATAAATTTATAAAATGATAATAAATAATTTAGCATCTGTACAAAGTTTCGCAAAAAATGCATACAATAAAATTGAAGAAGAAACCAAAAAATTAGTAGAAGAGGGACCAAATCAATACAGCGATAGTACATTTTTACCACCCTGGTTAGATTTTGTTCTAGAAGATAAAGATAAACAAAATGAAATAAGAGAAAAGATTTTGGATTTAAAAATGAGCAGAGCAACATTTTTAAATTCACCACCAATTGATGCTGATTATTTTCAAGAATTTGATGAATTTTTAATCAAGGTTGCGACAGTGTCTTTAAAACATGATTTAACATTAGAAAAAATTAGATTTCATTTTGTTCCTAAATTGTAATATACTTTATATTTAATTTAATTTATTTTAATAATACTAATTAGGTAAACCTTAAATATTTTATAGGGTTTCAGAGGAGCAGTTTTGGAAGAATTGGTATTATAGGGTACTTGTAGTTAAAAAGAGATATGGTATATCAAGTGTAAATAATAAATCAATAACAGATACAGACGATCAGAATAAAATCGATGAAACCACCACCACCACCACCACTACTACTACTACTACTACAACTATTTCATCACCAAATCCAACATCACCAGCATCACCAGCTATAAATAAATCAAATAAATTACAAACAGACGATACAGATTTTGGTAAATGGGAAAAAGAATTACAATCAGAGTTGGATAATTTCGATATTAATGATAATGATAATATTGATCTATCATTAAATAATGATTTATTAGATGATGAAGATTGGGAAAAAAAAATTGGTATCGAATTATCATCACCATCACTATCATCTCCATCAAAACAATCTCAACAAATCACGACACCAATAAAAGCAAGCACATCCATTAAATCATTTTCACCATCATTTTCATCCAATACATCATTTTCAACACCACCAGTTACAAATGCAGATAGCGACATTGACATGGAAATAGAAAAAGAGTTACAAAGAATTAAAACCCGTGAAACTAAATATGAAGACTCACTTAATATTACAACCGAGGATCTTTTAAATGAAATAGAATCAGAAATTTCTTTGGCCAAAGAGGATAGTTTATTAGATAGTGTAAATAATAATAATAATAATAATAATAATAATAATAATAATAATAATAATAATATTTTTAATAATGAAAACGATTTTGATAATGAATCAGATATAATAAATACCAGCTCAGTTGAAAATAATATAAATAGTAGCATCAATATTAGTTATAGCGATATCGATAGTGTGGTTAGCGATAATGTTCAAAAAGACGAAGAGGTTGGGGGTTTGGTTGAAGATGATGATTTATTAAATTAATTTTTTCAAAAAAGAAATCATATTTAATAAATCTTATTTAAATATGATTTTTTTAAATGGTTATTGTTAAATAATATTTTCATCATTGTTTAAAACTATAAAAATAGATTTTCGAAACTTATTTTTTTGTGGTTTCTTAATTAGGTCTTTTTTTTATTTTTGTCTTTTTTTTTTTATTTTTTCATAATTATTTTCAAATAACTTAAATTTAGGTTTAATCTATTTTTATAAACATCAAAAATGGAATTTTAATTTTTTATTTCCATTAATATATTCATATATCAACATAAAAACTAACACATAAAATAAAAATAGTAGTTTGTTAAAATCACCGCAAGTTTAGATTGTTTTCCAAAATTGTAATATTTATTTTAATTTAAAAATTTATATGAACAAGTCAGTATATGTGATTGTGCACCTTTTTATAGATTTTATTTGTGTGGGCGGGGTGGGTTTGTGAGTGTGTGAGTGTGGTTTATTTAAAATTTTTTTTTTTTTTATGTGCGTGGGTATATTTATTTTAATTTTTTTAATTAAATGATTTTATTTTTTTTTATTTTTTATTTTTTTTATTATTTATTTTTTTATTAAATTAATTTATTTATTTTATTTGATCCTTCATTAAACACACATGCACCTCTATATTCCACACATATAGTAATATACAATACAATAATATATTATAAAAAAAATTAAATTTAATTCAATAAACTTAACCAAACAACTACTGATATTCTAAATTTATAACAAAATATTTAAATAATAATATTAATAATAAAAATAATATATAATAATAATATTTTTATTATATTTAATTGATAATTTAAAATTTTTAATAATATAACACTCTCACACACTTATATACACATTAAAAAATAATAAAATAATAATATTTAAAACATATTCACAATAATTTTTTATAAAACAATTGTTTAGACTATGGTTGATGTTAATAGTGTTGGTAGTGCAGGAAGTGGTACCTGGTTACAATTTTTAAAAGAAATAAAGAATGAAAAACCACAAGTAGAGGAAGTAATAAGTGATATCACATCACTAAGCGACGATACAAATTTGGTGTATTCAACGATAGATAGTAGTGTAAATAATAGTACAAATAATAGTAGAATAAACGATATCAGTTTAATGGACTGTCAAACAAATAGCATTAGTAATAGAAACAGTAGTAGTTATTTAAGCAGCAGCCAAATAAAAGACTTAAGAAATAGTTGGATTTTTAACGAATACCCAGATATTTCAGTATTTAGTTATGAAAATAATGTTAGAAAATCTTCCTTTTCCCAATCGGCACCTAATACACCTTTAATAGGGTCAGCAAATTCAAATAAAGAAGAAAATGGTTATTTACGTAAATTGGCACTAAAAAAGAATAGATTTAGTATGGAGAATCAAGATTATAATACATCCTTAAAATTAAAAATGGCATCTGATGAAATAGATAAATTAATTTTCTTTTTAAATACACCAAGAGAAAATGAAGATTGTACAATAGATTCAGAAAAATATAATAATAATAAAAAAAATAATAACATTCAAAAATTATCAATATTAGAAGAGGAGGAAGATCAATTGCCTATTATTGAGCAAAGGGATTTTAAGAGAATTAGTATGGGTCTAGAGAATATAAATCAAAATATTATTGGGGATAATTTAGAAGGGTTTATAGATATTTCAGAAACTTTTATGAAGATGAAAGAAAATGACTTTGTAAATATCAATCAAGATGGTGCAAATAAAATTACAGACGAAAAAACTATCAATGGCAAAAATCAACAAGAAAATAATTTTCTTGGTAAAATTGAAATAATTAAACAAGATCATTTATTTATAAACAACGAAATCAAAATGGATCCATTAATCGAAATTTCAATTGAAAGCGATGTATTAGAAGAGTGCCCAATTTGTTGTCTTGATATAGAAGGTTTACACAATGTATTTACATTTAGTCCATGCCAGCATAGATATTGTGTTGATTGCATTAGAAAATATTTTACCGATTTAATATTTAGACAAATGGAAATTCAATGCCCAGATCCCAAGTGTGACAGTATAGTTCATGATTTAAAAATAGTATGTATAGTTTATTAAAACATAGTTTAAAGGATTTTAAAATAATAATAAATTTTATTTAATTAATTATAATATTATAGAAAGATTTAGTTGGAAACGTTATTTACAAGAGATTTGAAGTTTATAAATATTTCAAAAATACAAAAACCGATAATATAATATTTTGTGCCGAATGTCAGAACCCTATCCCATATAAATCATTAGCAACAATGAGTTCAACTCCTTCAAAGAATACTGTTTCATGCGATTCCTGTAAAGCTGAACACTGTATAGAGTGTTTTACACTGTCCCATCCAGATAAAAACTGCAAAGAAAATCAAAAGTGTATCAGAGAAAGTCTATCACCAGATGACTTAAAAACTATAAAGTATATGGAAGATAACCAAATAAAGAGGTGTCCAAGGTGCGGGTGTTTATTCAACTAAAACAGATGGTTGTGAATATGTGATTTGTTTTAAATTGTAATTATCAATTGTAAGTAAAATAATTTAAATATATTTTTTTAAAAAATTTCAAAATAAATTATTAACAAAATTATCATTTAGTTGCTTTTTATGTTTAGAACCTCATGATCATAATTTAAGTATGCATGTTCATGGACCAAAATATCAAGAGGAAAACCCAGTATTATTAGATAATTTAAATTATGTTAATAGATATCAAAAGAGAAAAAAGGCAAAAACAATTGCAAAAAATGTTTTAATCGCAGGTGGGGTTATCGTTGCCGCACCCATATGTGTAGCAGCAGCGGCTGTGGCAGCTGTACCATTGTTAATTTATGTTTTAGCCAAAAAGAATAAGAAAAAGAAAAAGGATAAACAAAACATGAAGTATGAAGAATGGGCATCCAACGAATTTAAAAGGAGAGCACAAAATGGTCTTGAAATTTCGCCATATATAGAACAAGCTGCAATTAACTATGCTCAAAGAAAAAATAAAAAATAGTTATAATAATAAATAAAAAATAGTAGTAGTAATAATAAATAATAATAATAAAAATAATAATATTAATAATTATAAATAAAATTATTATAATAAAATAACCATCAACTAATAACTAATAACTAATAACTAATAACCAAATAATATATAAAAAAATAACAATAATTTCACCACCACCACCAAATTACAAAAAATCATATTACATGAATGTTTAATAATTTTTTTACATAATCTTATTGTTTTGTTGTTAATATATTTCATCTAGATAAGCTCAAAAATAATCATAACATAAAAAAAAAAAGCACAATAAACTAACAAACAACAATCAAACACATAATAACATATTAAAACAGCCAAGTATCAAAAAAAGAAAAAAACAACAAAATAATCCAAGAATAATCATTAATTTTTTTTTTTTTTTTTTTTTCCATAATATAAAAAAAAAAACACACTCACCCCACACATACATACACAAATACATATACAAATATTATATAATTTTTTTACTATTAATAAAAATAATGTATTATAGGTAGTACTCTACCATGTAACAACTCAACAACCCTCTAAATATAATCTTTCAATAAAAAACCAAATTTAATAAATAAAAAATTTAAATTTATTTTTTTAAATTGAAAAAATTATTAATTATAAATTTTTGACACACCCAGGTATCAATAATAATATCATGTGGTGTTTTTTTAATTTTTGTTTATATATGGATATAATAATTTTTATATTTTCCAAATGGATTAAATCTAGAGATTTTTTATGAAAGGATGGAAAAAAATCAAAATTAAAAAAAAAAAAAAAAAAAAAAAAAAAAAAAAAAATTTATATATTAAAAACAATTTAACCTCTACCCGCAAACTGTTGTCGTTAATTAAAGGGGGGGGGGTGTGTGAAAATTAAAAAAATATTTATAATTTAAAAAAAAAAAAAAATTAATTTTTAAAAAAATTATTAATTTTGTTATTTAAATATTTAAATTATTATCTTTTTTTTTTTTTATAATTTTTAAATAATTTTTTTTTTTTTTTAATTTATATTTTTTAGTTTTTGTTTGTGTGAATAAATATTATTTATTTCAAAAAAATAATAATAATAAAAATTCTGAATAACAGTAATTTTTTAAAATAATAATAAAAAAATTAATAACAGAAATAGTTATAAAAAATAATAAAAATAATAAAAATAATAATAAAATATATAGATATTTAAATTTTTAATTTTTTTCTTATTTTATATATTTTAAAAAAGTTTTTTTTTTTTTTTTTTTCTTTCCTTTTTTGTACAATAAATGAAATGTAGAATGAATACAATAACAAACAGTACTGGTAATATTAATTTTAAAAATAGTTTTTGTGGAATTAGAAATAATAATATGAACAGTCTAAATTATAATTATAATAATAACAATAGCAGCCATAATAATAATATTCATTTAAATGACCACGACAATGACAATGATAATTTCAGTGACCATGATAATAGTACAGTAAATAATAATTCAATAAATGAAGTTAATAATCCAACTACCACAACCACAACAAATAGCTCAGTAATTAATATCGATAAAGAAATGGAGAATAGAATTAATATCATTAATAAATATAAAATAGGGGTCAGTGATGGTAATAGCTATACAAAAGAATGTCCAATGTGCAACATTTCTCTTAGTAGCTATTATTATTATCAACACTTGTATGGTTGTTCATTACTCAATATGATAAAGAATGATGTAGACTATAAACCCATTCACAAAAGTATCATTTCAATATTTGAAAATGATTACGAAATGATATGGAATGAACGACAAAAGCAACAAAAGCAAGTAAAACAAAAACAACAAAACAACCAAAATAATCACCAAAAACAACAACAATTACCCCAACAACAACAACAAATAATGGATCAAAATAAAAAGGAATTAACTGATGAAAATGAAATGGAAAACCAGTATAGTTATGAAGTAAACGAAAATAGAAAGAGAAGAAGGGATTTATCTTTGACCGACGAAGCAATTAATATTAAAGTCGAATTTAACAACCATTTCCACCATCGTTGTAATAGTGGCGCTGATGAGGGTAATGAGAATTTAATAGATTTAATTAGTACCACCGCCTCACCAATTTTAGTATCAACCGAAACTTTATCAAAAAATAAACCATCTGATATCTCTGAAAATGGCCATAAACATGAACAAAAGAAATCATTGCAAGTTTATTCATCTAAAAATATAACATCCTATCCCAACTCTTTATCTTCATCATCTATAGATACAAATAAACTCATCAATGTACCAGAACTTATGAACTATGTTAAAACTTCGCTCTCTGCCCCAACTACTCCTTTACCATTTTGTTCAGTTCCTTATAAAAAAAATAAAGCTTCACATGGGACATCATCCGAAGATCCACATTCATCCTCCCCATCAACTTCATCATCCTCTATTGCCTCATCCTCGTATGAAAGTGATACTAAAAAAGAGTTTCACAATAGCAACCGAAACAATGACTCTATGGATGATATGGAAACCCAAATTTATAAACAAAAACATCACTCCCAAAAAAATTTATTACAACCACAACAATCAATTAAACAATCTCAAATTACTCACCAAAACCAGTTACATATGATACAACAACAACAAATGCAACTATTACAACAAACGACCCATTCAATACCATCTCCACAACAACAAAACTCAAGACCACAATCTCCACAACAAGCCCAACAGGTACCATCCCCTCAACAACATTTACTAAACCAACAACGTTCATTTTCTTTACCAACCAGTCCAACCCCAACAACCTCAACTTCAAATGGTGCTAATAGTCCAAATAGTAATAATACTAATATTAATAATAATATAAATAATGGTAATAATAATATGAATAATAATAATAATATCTCTAATGGGGTTTGTATAAAAGGACCTTGGAGAGAGGATGAAGATAAAATGTTAATTCAATTAGTAAATAAATATGGCGCTAGAGAATGGTCAACTATAGCATATAGAATACCCGGTAGAACAGGCAAACAATGCAGAGAAAGATGGTTAAATAGTTTGAACCCCGAAGTAAAGAAAACTAATTGGACCTCAAAGGAAGATGTAATTATCATTGAAGCACACACCAAATATGGAAACAAATGGACTAAAATCTCTAAATTATTAGAAGGTAGAACAGCAAATGCCATTAAAAATCATTGGAATTCAACATTAAGAAGAACCAGATCATCCTACGGTGTTACCGATTTAAACAATTCACCAAATCATATCACCAGCTCAACATCAGATGACGGAGATGATAATGATGATGATGATGATTTCGATGGAAATTCTTTCGATGACTAAAAATATTTAAAAAAATAAAAATAAAAATAAAATGCGTATAAACTAAATAAAAAACTGTATATAAATAAAATTTTTATAACTTGTTTGAAAAAAATATAAACCCAAACTTTAAAAAAATTTAGATTTTTTATTTTATTAAATACTAAAGTTTTTTAAACTGCAGTTTCTTGATTCTTATTTTCTATTAATGCTATAGATATATTATTGCTGTTACTATCGTTATTTTCTATATTGTTGCCAGTATCTAATTTTTCTGTATTTATTTCTTTGGCTTCACTTATTTCAATTATTTCATTATTGTTATTATTACTATTATCTTTATCGTTATTATTTTCACCATCATTATTATTATAGTCTTTAATATTTTTATCTATATTTTTACTATCTATACTGTTATTATCATAGTTATCTATATTTTCATTATTATTATTATTATTATTATTATTTTTATTATTATTATTTTCTATATTTATTGGATTTGTAATATTATTATTCATATTGCTATTCATATTATCACTGCTAATATTAATATTATTATTATTATTATTATTATTATTATTATTATTATTATTATTATTATTATTATTATTATTATTATTATTATTATTATTATTATTATTATTATTATTATTATTATTATTATTATTATTATTATCTAATTCTTCTTTTAATATTGGTAATATAATTGGAGAAACTATTGTTGGTGAAGATCTTTGTTTACCAAGCACAATATCTGTTGTTACTGATTTATGATTTAGTTCAAAATAAGATTTATCAAAAATTGGGTTAAAAAGAACTCTTGGTGATGATGGATTCGTGAAGCTTCTAATTTCGTTAATAAATTTATTTGGAGTCGATGCTGATGAATCATTATTATTACTATTATCATTTGCTATTTTAGTAAGTGCTGAAATTATTGGAGTTGTTGTGGATGTGGATGTTGTATTATTATTTTCTACAATTGTTGGTCTTCTTGAATATTGATCGATAACTAAAGCCTCCATCGAAATTGAATCAATGAAAAAGATACCATTTGTTGCAACATCATCGTTATGAAGTTGGTGTGGAGTTGGTTCTGAATCAAAACTATTATAACTACTTGAACTATCACCCTTGGTACCTTTAATGTTTTTAATAATACCCTTTAAAACTTCAATGTTACCAATTATTCCTGATGATTGCTTTTCTTCTGAGGTACTATTACCACCTTCTTCATCTTCAACTCCATTGCTATGATCGCTTTCTTTAGTTTGATTACTCTGATGGTGGTTCTCATCATCGTCATCATAAATGTCCTCATCGATACCCGAACCAATTTTCAAGCATGGCATACTTGAACATACATCACCTCCATAGTAGAGATCGGAATCTGATTCAGAGTCAATAAAACCTTCATCCTCGGTCATTTCATGGTCTTCAACCTTAACCACTTGGGATAATACTGTATCTTCGTCGATTGCTGTGTCAATAGTATCGTCACTCTTTAGCAATAAAATTGTTTTACGTTTACCATTACTAACAGTTTTTGCAAATGGTTTAATAACAATATCGTCTTCATCAAGAGTAAAGTTTCTTTCAGTTTCACATTTTTCTAATGAGAAGCCTTCAATATGATCATTATCTTGATCGGAGCACATTCTTGGGGATTCGCCAATATATTCATCTTTGGTAGAAAAGCCAATCTTTCTCTTTTCTTTAGAACTTTCTAATTTTAGCTGACTTGAAGAAATTAAATTATCTTCGATTGTACTATCGCTGCTATTATTATTACTACTATTATTACCCAAACTGATTTTAATTTTTCTATGATTACTTAAAACTTTGGCGTGAGATGTGTGAATATCTTCAGCAGAGAATGAAAGCTTTCTATTAGCTTGTTGAATATTTGAATTAGTTGGTTTCATTGGAGGAGATGTATTTAGATATAAACTGCCACTATCGCTTGAATTTGGAGAGTTTGAATAGAAATGTGGACTAAATGTTGGTAATGAACCAACAATAAAATTATTGTGTTGCTTTTGCATTGATTGTTGAATCTGATGTTGTTGTATTTGTTGATGAAGTTTAATGTTTTTAGATTTTGGTGGAATTGGTGGAGCTGGTAAATTTCTTTTAATTATAATTGAATCACTTGATCCTTGAATTGTTGGGATTGATGAGGAAACTAATGCAGTTGAAGCACCCGAAATTGAATTTGAGTCTAATGAAGATGACATTACTGAAGAACCAATTGATGAGTTTGATGATTTCATATCAATAGGTGAGAAATTATGAGCTGCTGTCCCAATGGCAATCTTTGAGAATAGATCTGGTGAGTCTGATCGTGTTGGGTATTCTCTAGTAATCTTTGACCAACCATTAATATTCTCTTTCATTTCTAAAAGAAAAAGACCAGAAACCGGTCTATGATCAGATTCGAAAAGCTCATGACGGGAGTAATCTATTTGCTTTAGAGAGTCCCCTCTATAAAGAATACGGTCGCACCAAGATGGGGTTCTATTTTTTTCGCTAGTATCATATGTTGTGGTGCCAATATCATATTTATAAGTTGGAGCAAAATTAGTTGGTTCTTCACTGAACCCCAAAAAGGCTTTACCTGATTTACGTTCATTATTTAATTGATCGTGAGCTTGAAGTTTAGACCAGTTCTTTTGTTCTACCAATTGTTTAGTTTCGTTATAAGTTAAATCGATACGATAGTTTAAATCACCGAACCAAATTAAACTTTCATGATCCAAAATTGAAAGATGGTTTTCAAAGGTCATCATTTGAATCTTTTTATAATCTTGAGTTCTTCTTTCCATCTTCTCATGAGATGGTCCAGCTGCTAAATGGCTATTAACAAAGCAAATACCAGTTTTATAGAGAGTAAATCTAATACCCAAGCCACCTTTATTACCAATTTTACCCATCATACCACAGGGCACTATAGCGCCACTAACCTCACTAATATGTGGATAATGCTCTTCTTTAACATAAACCAACATCATTAAGCCGACCAATACTTTATTCATTACTTTGACATAACGAGATGAACCTAGAGTTGCAAGAGTTTGTTCTATATCATGCTTCCAAGGATGATACGCATTTTCTTTATTATTTTGTTTATCTGCGGCAGTAGCTTTAACTATGGCACCAGCCTTCATATTTACAATCTCTTGAAGCCCAATAGCAATAATATCTGGGGAAAATGAATTTGAAAGTATCCAACTAGCCAAATTTTGGGTTCGTTTAGCATTACAATTCCATGTGCCTACAAATATTTTGAGATGAGCATTCTTTACTATATTATTTTGATTGGCTATACTCTTTTGTAAATTTAGTGATCCATTATTTAAAATACTTGGATCAGGACTTTCATCAATGACAAAATAAGCCGATGAGTCGCCAGCTGCAAAAATATCTGATACCAATAATCTTGGTTTTTGAATAAGTGTTGGAAAATAAATTTTATTTTTTCCTCCCATAGAACCGTGACCAAGTTGGTAAAATTCATTATTACCAAAGGTATATACATCTTGATCTTTTGTTAATAGTATTGTGTGGTTATTACCCAACGCCATACGGTTAATTTTCTTAAATTCTATTGATCCTTTTACTTTTTTTGGTACATTTAAATCTATTGTATCACCTTGACCCAACTGCCCGTATTGATTACTACCCCATAAATAAACATCACCCTCCAATGTTAATAAAGATGAATGAAAATTACCGGATGCTATATCTACAACAATTCTTGTACTGTGTCTATTAAAACGAACTGGTACTGGGACTAATTTTGTATTACAATGACCTAAACCTAATTGACCATATTGATTACTACCCCTATAAGTAATAAAAAAATAGAATAAAATTTATTAGTAATGATTCCATATTTTTTGTTGATTTTTTATAACTGAGTGGTTTAAAAGTTAAATAATAATAAAAATAATAATAATTTACCATGAAAAAATTGTACCAGTTGTTGAAACTGCTATAGTATGTTGAGCACCAAAACAAACATTTGAATATTGTATATTCTGATAAATTGGATTATCCTTTTCTTGTTCAGAAATAAATGGTTCTAAAATTGTAGTTGGTATAAATTGGTTTGATTTTGGGTTCATTTTACCATTTCCCAATTGACCAAAACTAGAAGTACCCCAAATATATAAATCTCCTTTATCTGTAATTGCTGCACTAATATTGTTACCAGCTTTAATTTTGATAACATTACATTTTTGTAAAGTGTCTACAGGTAATGGAACCGCTGAATCTACTACATTCTCAATACCTAGTTGCCCAACTTGATTAAAACCCATTGAAAATATCTTATATTCGCTAGTTAACAATAGTGTATGATTAAAACCACATGAAACACTTACTACTCTTCTCTTCCAGACAATCTTAAAGAGAGTAGTATGTTTTCTTCCCATAACTTCACCCCACATTAAACATTCATTATTTACTATTGCTGCTGAGTGATTAGGTCCAATAGATAATTGATCTAAATTTAATGAAATTAAAACTGATGGTGGTGATGGATATTTTTTATCTATATTATGACAAGTATTACCCGTTTTACCTATTAAATATAAGTGTTAATTTTATTATCATTTTTATAAATATTTATTATTATTAATACTATTTTTATTATTATTACTATTATATTTATTTTTTTATTTTATCTTACCCTTTCCCCATGAATATAAAACTTTCATTTTTTATTTATATATATATATATTATATTTAAACTTAAAAGTTTAAATATTTAATGGGAATATAGAGATAATATTTGATAGTATTTGTAATAACTAGGCTATTGTTTATAAATAATATTGTTTTTAAAAAAAATGAGATTAAAAAAAAAAAGAAGAAAAATAAATAATTATAGAGAAAATAAATAAAAATATATAAATTAGGATATTTTAAATTTTAAAAAAATTATAATAATACAAAATAAATATGTTATAATTATATATATTTATAAATGTGTGTGTGGTGTGTTGTGTGTTGTTTATTATTAGAAATACAAAATTAACGAGATTAAAAAAAAATAGCCCACATATAAAACAATTTAAAAAAAGGAAAAAAAAAACAACACACTTTATAAAATACTAGATTAATATATGTTTATATTAAAAAAATGTATTATTTTTGGTTTTATAAAATAACAAAATGATAATTTTAAAATTAACAATCGAGAAAAAAATAAAATAAAAAAAAAAATAAAAAAAAAAATAAAAAATGTTTTTTTTAAAATTTTTTTAAAAAAAAATTATAATTTTTTGGATGTACCCATCAACCTCCATTTTTTTTTAATTTTTTTTTTCTTTTAATTAAAGTTTTTTTTTTATATATTTTTATATTTTTATCTTATAATTTTTTTCTTATAAGATGTAAAATGAATTTTGATGACGACAATATATCAGATGGAGAAGGTGGAACATTATACAAAACATTTAGTGAAGGTGAAAGGGAAGAGAAATTAAAAAAAAAATCAAATAAAAAAAGTAAAAGAACAAATACATCAAGTGCAAAATCAACAAAAAAATCAAGAACATCAGATGGTTTTAAAAAAACTGGTTTAATTAATCTAAATGATACTGACAGCTCTTCAACTGAAGATGAACCAGAAAATATTTATGACAAAAAAGCGCCACAATTAAATAAACAAAAAACCACAACTACCACAACCACAACCACTTCATCAACATCATCATCATCATCATCATTAATATTTAAAAAAAATCACAGTAAATTTAGCAATAAATCAATTTTTGATGATGAAATTGAAAACTCAAATGATGATGAAGATATTTTTAACAAGAACAGAGACAGAATAAATAATGAAAGAAAAGAAAAAAACGACGACAACAACAACCATAGTAATGACAAAGATAATGATAATAATGATGATAAAAGTAATAACAATATCAACAATGAAAATAAGAGAAATACAAATTTAGATTCCGCTGGTATTGATAAAGTTAAGCAAGCCATTCATTTCTCTGTAGCTAAAATTTCAGAAGAAAAATCTGATGAACTAAACTGTAGTATTTCAAACGAAGTCGTTTCATCTTTATCAGAACTTGTTTATTCAATTACAAAAGGTAAGTAATAGTAAAAAATACAAAACATTAACAAAAAATACTAATTTTTATTTTAAAACTAGATATTATTGCCAAGGACTTAATAACATTTGCTCGTCATGCTGGTAGAAACACCATCGAAACCAATGATGTAAAAGTTTTAGCTAGAAGAAATGAACATCTTAAAGATATATTAGATATTAAAGAAAGCGAACGTTTTGGATTTAATGATTAAATAAAATATCTTTTTTATTTTTTTTTTTTGTTGTCAGTAAACTCTTCCAACAAAAAGCTCAATAAATAAAATAAAAAATAAAACAAATGAAACAAATAAAACAAACAAATAATTTTTTTATTAAGAGATTAATAAATATTTTCTATAACATTACTTTAGTAAAATATATATTAGTTATTATTTTTTTATTTATTATTGGTGATTTATGCATGAATCAATTCTAAACTCGTTCTTATTAACTTTAGAAACAGAAAAATAAAACATACACCCTTTTAATAAATCTACCAATTTCTTTTTATTTCCATTTGAAAGTTGTTCTAATTCCATTTGATTAATTTGTAATAGTTGTAAATTTACATCGGAAGTTGCATAAATTTTAAAATTGTTGGCCTCGTTATTAGCTTCTGCACACTCGATTGGTTCACCACCATCCTTTAATTTAAAATATAAATTAAAATTATTTGTTACTTCGCTAGATGGATCAACAATGGTTCTATTACATTCACTACATCTACATTGCCCATTACTATCATATACCAAATCGCCATAACCCGAACAAATTGAATGTACCTTCTTTAAAAATGGCTCATTGCCTTCGTTTACGCCCACTATAGTTGATAAAATAACAGAGTTTAAATGACTGTTTAAATCCTTTAATTTTAAATTACTTTTATAAAGAAATTTGGTAGTTAAAATACCTTGAATTTTTGAAACTATTATAAAATTTGATGGGTTATTAACTCTATTATTATTAAAGAATGCAATTATATTATCATTGTTATATTCTATATCCAAATTATTAAAATAAACCAATTGACCAATTTCAAATTTATCTTTATTAAACGTTATACCAATATTACTTTGTCTAAAATGAATATCTAAAAATTGATTTAAATTTGATTCTTGATTAACCCTAACTATAATTTCATTTGGATAGTTTGAATAGTCAACGCTATAAACCCTTGAAAACAATGAGACATTACTCTTTCCATTACTCTTTATATCTTTAATTTCGGTTTTATTTTCATACTCTTCAAGACTATTATTATCTATATTAATATTATCTATATTATCTATATTATTATTATTGCTGTTGTTGTTATTGTTAATTTTAGATGTATCTGATAAAATTGAAATAGATGATGTTGGTAAAAATTCTAGAGTTATAATATTATCATTTATAGATTTAAAAAATACACCTTTTAATCTAATTTTTTCGTTTTTTTGTAATAACCTTGCAAAACCAACCAATTCATCCCAGAAAATTAACTCTACTTGATAAAGCTGATCACTATCTTTTCTCCAACTCTCTCTAACTTCTGAAAGCATTACAACCTGTTTTATACTGTGGCCTAAGAAATCATCGTAGGGAATAGTACGATTCCATTTTATTTCATTGGCTTCGTGTTTAACTTTAAATATCTTATTAACCTTTAGCCATAATACGGTAGTTTCGTTGGGGAAGATATTTAACTTCAATATATTTGATAATTTAAAATGGTTCATTCTCTCACTATATGATAACTCTTGAATATCATTCAATAAAAATGATAAAACTCTTGATGGCATAATAATTTGATCTTTTTTCTGTTGCTCTTTTTTTGATTTAGTTTTACTATTATTATTATTATTATTATTATTATTATTATTATTATTATTATTATTATTATTATTATTATTATTACTCTCATTGTTGTTATCGCCATCTGCATTATTTGCACTATCTGTATTATTTCTATTATTATTAATATCTATATTATTTTTACCATCATTATTATCTATTTTATTTTTTATATTTGAATATTGCTGGAGTGTATTTGTAAATCTAATCCTTCTGCCAATAGAAATTAAAGGTGAGTCGCCAAAATACTCATTTATATAGCAATGGTATTTAGGGTGGAGCCACAACTGATTGATATAATTTTGATCACCTATTTCCAATAGAATAGAACAAGTATGACTCTTTGATAACTCCTCGCTGTAATTAAACTCCTCCTCATTTTTGACAATTGATTTGATATTTGTTTCGATAACTGTATCAAATGGAATGGTCTCTCTTTTAAATGACATATAAAGTGATACTGGTTTTTTATAAATGATTTCATTATCGTCGTTATTATTGTTACTATTGTAAATATTATTAGTATTGTTGTTGTTATTATTTAAATTTAATAAAACCTCTACACCTTCGATACCCCACTATATTAAATAAAATACAAAATTATATAAATAAAAATTGATTTAATAAATAAACATGTATTAACGAAAGTATACCTACCTTTAAAAACAATTCAGTTTTAATAATTGTAATGGTGCTGCCATCGGAATATTCAATTAAAAGCTTAATTAAATTTTTAAATATCCAATCCCAAGGCACATATTTTGATTCTACTTTTTCATTTTTATTTAAAATATTTCTAAATTTTTCTATACTTTGTTCAAATTGCATTTGTTCATTTTTTTGAAAAAAATAAATAAAAAAAAAAAATTTATAAAAAAAAAAAAAAAATGAAAATGAAAAAAAAAAAAAAAAAAATTCTAATTTATAAATAAATATAAATAAAAAACTATTTATTTTTATATATATTATATAACTTTTAACAATCCCTTCTTTATCTATAAATAAAAAACCACCTAGTCATTATTTCTATTTATACAAAAAAATAAAAGTAATGTGCCAATATTCACAACCTAAATATTTAAGCGTTATTATCTTTTTAAAAAAAAAATTGTGAATCTAAAAAAAAAATTTTATTTTTATTTTACTTTTCCCAAATTTTTTTTTTTTTAATTTAAATTGCACATAGGAATCATTTATAAAAGATAATATTTGTTTTAAATGGGTAGAATTATAATAAGGTAAGTGTTTTATTATTCAATTTTTAAATAATAAACAAATTTAACTTACAACTTTTATTTATTTATTTTTAGACCCAAGCATTCAGCATCAACTATCGGAGGGTATGATATTGACTTTCCGATAGAACTTAATGGTATATTAACATTAAAAGAATGGGATATGTTAATTACCATTATAAATCAAAACATGATTAGAAACCACATATCAATTTGGTTTATTGCCCCACTCTTTATTTTAATTGGTCTTATAGTTTTTTTTATTATGGCTATTGTCGGAATTGTTCGTTGGGAAATGTTTAAATCAAAAGTAAATTTTAAAATAATTATTATAGCTTTTATAAAAATTTTAAAACATTAACATTATTTTTTTATATAAAAACAGGCAGAAGATGATTTAAAAAAAGTTCTTTCATCTCTTAATTCTCAATTGTGTGTTAAAGGTGTATCAATAACTTATCATAGATCTCAAGCATGTTTTACCTTAGAAATTTCATATCCAGATTATTTAAGCAAACCAATTAATATTGCAAACACTTTTAATGCCTCAGGATTCCTTTCAGTTTTATTAGATACCTATTCAGGTGTAAGTATTAATAAGTGCATTTAAAAAAATATTTAAAATTGCAAATGCTTACCTCTTTTATTTCTATAGTCAATTCCATTAGTAAATCCAGATGTACATAAACAATCGTACCACCCAACAGATCCAAGATTAAGAAGTCTATTAATTTCTTCAGAAGTAACCCCTCTAAATTATCCAGGCTGGAAAGGTTTCTGCAACAAAAGTTTTCCATTTGCTTTATACAATTATTTAACACCACAAGAATATAAAGCAGTTCTTGATGATTACAATGCCGTTTTAGTCAGTACAAGTAATAGCAAAAGTTGGAATTTTTTCATTGCTTCTTGTTTCCTTTGTTTGATTTTGGTCGGAGTTCTTTTAATTATACCAGCAAGTATCTGGCTAAGAGTTTCAAGAGCTAAATATAGAAGAGAGGTATGTATATTTTACTAAAATAACCACACCAAAAAAAAAATGTATAATTACTAATTTAATTAATTTAAAATTTTAGTTTGATACAAAATTAAATAGATTAAATTTTAAGTATAACCAAATGTATTCAAATAGAGGTATCTCATTCAATTTTTATTCAACAAGATTTGATCTCCCAAGAGGTTATGTAAGTATAAACTACTATTTATAAATTTAAAAATAAAATATCAATCGATTCTAATAAAAGCTACTTGTATTTTACAGCTTAACATTTTTGCACCACTCGATTGCGGCAATGGACCAACTTTCTCATTACTTTGTACAAAAAAGAAAGTAATTTCAGCAACAGTACCAGGTGTTTTACAACCAATGTATATTAATAATCCTCCATTAGTTTCTATTCCAATTCAAACTTCGATTCCACCAAACTCTGGTGTTCCATTATCATCTATCGATATTGAAATTGAGGTTACTGCCACTGAAAAAACTCCACTAATTAAATAATAAACAAACAAAAATTGTATATAAACAGTTGTTTTTCTTTTTTCTTTTTTTAAAAATCTATATTTTTTAAAAATTTATATTTTATTATTTATAATTTATAACTTTTTTTTTTTTATCTTTTTTTTTTTAATTATTTATTTTATTTATTTATTTTATTTATTTATTTTAAGCTCTATTTTCGAAATCTTTTACTCTATAAACTCTAACTAACCAATGAACTGAAGTAAAGGCTTCTTCAAGATATGTTAAATCGAAACCTTTATAACCAATTTCAACACCTCTTACACGATCGAAACCAGCTGGTCTTTGATAATCTGTGTGGACTTCTGAGAAACGATAGTAACTTAATTTATATATAAGCGAGTTTAACATTGTTGGACTAGCACCTTTATCAATACGATATTGTTTATCGGTGAGATAATCTTCTTCTTTAAGAGTTGGATCACAACTTCCACCAATTCTAACCATCCATAAGAATTTGTTAATATCGTCACTACTGTAACCAGTAAGACCACCAAAAATAACTAAAACGTAATCGACATCTAATGCTTTCATTTGATAGTAGGCATCTTCTTCTGATGAGGCAAATGCTTTACCAACTTGAGCAATATGACTGTTATTCCATGTGTTGTTATCAACTAAAATGGTACGATTTGCCATAGCTGATAATTGATAACCATAATCCCACCATGACATAATACGTGCATCATCAGCAGTATTTTGACCAATCCAACGGTAAGCTTCACGGAAATCATCGAAAATTACACGACTGCCATCACCTTGTTTGGCTGAAAGAACGATTGATGGTGATGAATAAGCTTCGGAGGTAACCCAAGTGCAATGGAAAGCATAAAGGATTAAAAGAACAGTGAGAACAGCAACCATAACACCACCTGATTCTTTGGTATTGTTTTGATCGGATGATGGGGCCTTTAATTTCTTCATGTAGGTGGTAAGAGTGGCACTAACGGCAACAGCAGCTAAAACGCAGGCAACTGGAGCTAAAACTAACATTAAACGAACCATAACACCAGAGAAATAAATTGAAGTAACACCATAGAGAATTAAAAAGATGTTGGAATCAGTGAGTTTTCTGAAACAGAAATATAAACCGGCTGGGAAAAGGAAAACTAAGATGTGAAGATCAAAGAAATAAGAAGCCCATGTGGTTGGTTGATGCTCAGATACTGAAGCAATAATTGGAATATTATCACGAGCATAAGTTGGATCTAATAAACTGTAGAAACGACCGTTGAATGGTGAGATATAACCAGTGGCGGTACCAATGACAAGGATAGCACCAGCGATTGATAAAACTGATAAAATAGCAAAACGTTGAAGTTTCTTGAAGGCTTCATTGGTTAAGTGACTCTTGAACCATTGTAAACCAGCAAATAATTGAAGAAGACCAAAAATACCAATGGCAGCTAAATGTTCTGAACTTTGAACTGGTTGGAAACTAATGAAGTTGATTTGCATTGAAAGAATGGTACCCATAACAAACATGGTACTATAGGCAATGTAAAGACGATGGGAGTAACGACCAGTAAGTAAAAGGAAGAAGGCATGAAGTGGGATTAAATTGATAATGAAAACATAACCACCCCAAGCACTGGCCATGTAAAAGTAAGCTAATGAACAAATAGCAGCCCACATTAATGAACCAGTGTTGACAGCTTTGATCCAACAATAATAAGTGAAAATTAAAGCGAAAATAGCAATACCTTCATTATCAAATGAACCTGCAACTGAACGTGAAATGTAACCTGGAACAATGGCAATCATAGCGGCAGCAACTAAACCAGTTTGTGTGTCTCTAATTTCTTTTGCAAATTTATAAGTGACCATAGCTGTATTTGATGCAAACCATGGTGATAATAAAACACAAACATTTCTAATATCGACTGTGAGATTTAATGAATTGAGTGCCCAATGTACTACACTTGCTGTTGCCATTAAACCTGGGTAAATGGTACCACCAACAATACGTCCTAATGGATACCATGAACGTTCATCAAACCAATTTAAAAAACTATAAAAACCTTCCTTAACTAAATGAATTGTTGATCTATAATTGAAATATCTATAATTTTTAAAAAAAAGAAGAAATATTAATATTTGTATATTTGTATGTACATGGGTTGATTTTTTTTTTTATTATAAATTATTGAATTAATTTTTATTTTTCCAATTTTATTTATATTTTCTTTTTTTATATCTATATTTTATTTTTTTTATTTTTTTATATCTATATTTTATTTTTTGACTATTTGACTAACTTACGGATCAAATTCGTGAATAACGCTTTCATAACGTAATACTGAGAATAAACGGGTTGAAAATGCTAAAACATAAATAACTGAAAGAATCAAAACTTTAATTAAAAATTCTTGATTGTCTTTATTTGGTGTTTCTTTAATGGCTTCAACTTGAACATTTGATGAAGCACCAACTGTGGCTGTTGATGATTTTTCTGATTTTTTCATCTTTATATATGTATGTTGTATTATATTTTTTGGTTTTTCCTTTAAATAATTTTATATTATTATATACAAATTTTCTGAAAAGAAAAAAGTTGGATGGAAAAAAACGATATTTAAAATTATCTCTAATTATAAATAAAAAGTTTTTTAAATTAAATATATACAAATACAACAATGTCTTGTGTGATTTTGATTAATTTGAAAAAAAAAAAAATTATAAAAAAATTTTAAAAAAAATTAAAAAAAATTGAAAAAAAAAAAAATTTTGAAAAAAAAATTAAAAAAAAAAAGGGGAAGTTATTGATTTTTTTTTTTTTTTTTTTTTATTTTTTTTTTTTTTTCTAATATTTTAAATCTTATTTACTTATAAAGTAATTTGACTTCTATTTTATGATCCACAACAATGAATAATATAGTAGGTATTTTCAATACCAAAATAAAGTGTATTATGTAATATTTACATATACCCAAGTTTTTAAATACTCAAATATGAAAAAATTAAATTGAACCAACACTATCCAAAGAGAGCTATTGAATTATAAAAAAAAAAAAAAAGAGATAATTATTTTCAAATTTTGTGATGCGTCATTATATATATAGCCAAATATAAAAATTAAAAATATAATTTTAAAAAAATTATTTTTTTTTTTTAATTTTTTAATTTTTTAATTTTTTAATTTTTTAATTTTTTATTTTTAATTTTTTTTTTTTTTTTTTTATTATCATAGAGGATCAATCTGTAAATTTTAAAATATACATATATAAATATATTTCTTGTAGTTAATAATATTAAAGTGATATTGTTACTATATTTTGTTTTTTAATAATACTTTTTGTATTGGCTTTTTTTTTTTATTTTTTATTTTTTTTTTTATTATATATATTCTTAGTAATATAACATTTGTATAAATCAAATAGTATTTAAAACAATGGCACAACCATTTGAAGACTGGTATAAAAATTTACCAATTGTTACAAAAATATATATGACAGGATGTGTCGTTACAGCAGTAAGTGTATATCTTGGTGTTGTAGGCCCATTAAGATTATATTTAAATTTCCCACTTGTATTTAGCAAGTTTGAAGTTTGGAGATTAGTTACAAATTTCTTTTTCTATGACGAGATAGGGATGAACTTTTTTTTCCATATGTATTTTTTGTAAGTATTCATGACAACGAACATCTTTTTCCCACATAGATTTATACTAACATTTTATTTTCTAAATTATAGAGTTAGACATAGTAGATTATTAGAAGAATCATCATTCAGAGGCAGATCTGCCGATTATCTTTTCATGTGGATATTTGGATCAGTTTTATTATTAGTAAGTCATTCATATTCATTGACAAAGAAAAGTACCATTCATTCTAACTATTATATTTTATAATTTTTTTTAACTAGGTTATGAATGCATTTTTATTTTATACCAAAATTACTACCAAAGTATTATTTTTAGCACCATCAATAGCATTCATGGTCATTTATGTTTGGAGCAGAAGAAATCCAAATATGCACATTAGTTTTTTAGGTTTATTCACATTTAGTGCACCATACCTTCCATGGGTTATTTTAATAATGGGTTATTTATTCAAACACGATTTAACTACAGATATTTTAGGTGCAGTTGCAGGTCACATTTATTATTTCTTGGAGGACATGTACCCACTTGTCAGTAATAGAAGAATTTTAAAAACACCCCAATTTTTGTAAGTAGTATTTTTATTTACCAAAGCATCATAAAAATATAGTAGTTGATATTAATGTTTTATTTATTACTTTATAGAAAAACTTTGATGGATGGACCACAAGAGCCAGCTATAGTTGATAATCATCATCAAAATAATGATCAAAATAACAACAATAATAATGATATTAATAATGAAAACAATGAAAATAATGAGAATAATAATGAAGATAATATAAATAATCAAAACAATATAGAACAAGTTGTTAATTAATATTTATAGTTTTTAATATATACACGCTTAATAAATAAACAATAAAAAAACTAAATAAAAAAAAAGAAAAAATTTAAAAAAAGTATTTTATTTACAAAATATAAAGTGCATTGTTATTAATATGCACATTCTTTAAAAAATTTTATTTAGTTTTTAGATATACTATACTATATATATAATATTTGTTAAAAAATAAATATTTGCATTATGGTTATCGATACTATTTTAATAAATAATATGGGTTCCGTCGGGAGATACGCTAATATAGCCCATTTTGGTATTTCTAGAGAGTCTACGACAAAAGTAGAATATTAAAATTATACAAAATACTGTAAATCCACCGCCAACCGATATACCAACTATACTAAATATTGAATATTTTGCTGGTCCAAACCAATTAACATTATAATTATTTTCTGATTGATAAAAACAGCTTGAATAATCCCCCAACTATATTATAGGATTAGTTATAGGTTAGTAATTCTATAAATATAAAACAATTAAAAAATTAAACAGCTTACATCAAAAACATTTAAATATTGATCTACCCAGTCTTGGTTAGAGCTCCAGACACCTGATATATTTGATTCAATTATTTGATTATCATGTATTTGATATGACACAAAAAATAAACCTTGGTAGCATCTTCTTTCGTGTGATATCGAATTACTATCACTACTATTATTACTATTGCTACTGCTACTACTATTACTACTACTACTATAGCTTCCACTTATTGAATTGCCGGATGCTGATGTTGTTGGTGAAAGATGTCGATGGTGTTCCTTTTGTACAACATATAAATAAAAATCGTTTTCTCCTAATTTATCATACCACCAAATTTGACTATTTAGTTCTACACATCTACCATACTCTATTTCTGATATTATATAGCGATCTAATACATGACATTCTGTGGGTATATATGTTTTGGCGTATAACATCTATAGTAGTTAATAAGAGTTTGATTAGTATATTTAAATATAAAAAAAATAATAAAAAATAATAATAATCATCATCATCATCACCATAACGACATATATTTATAAAAGTTGATAAAATATTACTTACACTAGGTCTTAAATCAGCAAATATTATTATAACACATGATGAAAATGATAAAATAGTAAACACTATTAAAAAACCCAATAAAACTTTATCGTTATATTTCATTCCCACACACTTGATAAACTACATATGCAGTTGGTTGACTTTTTAAAATATGTATTTTAATTTAATATTATAAACAAAAGTAGTTGTGTAAACCACTACCTTTTTTATTTTTTATTTTTTTATTTTTTATTTTTTTTGTGATATTTGCTATTAATAAAAAAGATAAGGTTAGCCCTAAATAAAAATCTTTCAAAAAGTTTTTGTTTTTTTTTTAAAAAAAAAAAAAAAAAATTGTTTTTTTATTTTTTTTAATTTTTTATTTTTTTTAAATTATTTTTTAATCATATCCCACTTAAAGAAAAAAAAATATAAATCACAACGGCAATACAGATCTTTAAAATATGGGAAATAACAATCACTTGGTTAATTCCTAACCAATCAAACAAATTTACATAATTAATGGTTAGTATTGATATTTAATTATTTGATGGTTAGCATAATTATATATTTTTAATTTATAGTTTTTTTTATAGTTTTTACAATATTTTTTTCATATAAATATTTTTTTTTTAATTTATAATTGTAATAATTCATTTTTTATTTAATAAATATAAATTTTAAAGTAAAAGAATAAATATAGCACATAAATAAATAATTGCATTTATACTAATTATTCTTATATAATTTAGAATGAATTTAAAAAAATATTTAATAGGTGCAATTATTTTTGGTCTAGTAGTTTCAAGTAGTGCAATTAGTATTGGTATTAATGGAGGAGAGAGACCAACTACAGAAAACCCATTCGGAGATACCGATTTTTGTTCATTATTAAACACTGCTCTTATGTTTTATAAATATAATAGAGCAGGTCGTTTACCTGATAATGATGTCCCATGGAGAGGCAATTCTGCTTTAAAAGATGCTGTAAATATTATTATTATTTTTATATTTATTAAAACAAATTTATAAATATTAATTTTTTTTTTTAGAGTCCCAATTCACAACCAGATGAAAATGGTGATGGAGATCTTTCAAAAGGTTATTTTGATGCTGGTGATCACGTTAAATTCGGATTTCCATTATCTGCAGCAATGACAATGTTGGGTTGGGGTTATATTCACAGTAAAGATGCCATTGAAAAATGTGGAGCTACAAATCTTTATATTGAGGATTTAAAATGGGGATGGGATTGGTTAATGGCAGCACATATAGAACCAAACACATTTTGTGGTCAAGTCGGTGAGGCTAATGCTGATCATGCCTATTGGGGCCCACCAGAATTAATGACCATGGATCGTCCAACTTATGTTATCGATACCAATAGTCCAGGTACTGAATTGGCTTTAGAGGCCTCAGCAGCTCTTGCAGTATGTTCAATTATTATGACTGATATCGATAGTGACTATGCTGCTAAATGTCTTCAACATTCAAAAGATCTCAACAGCTTTGGTGATAACTACCGTGGTGTTTACTCTAACAGTATCCCAGATGCACAAAACTTTTACAACTCATTCTCTGGCTACAACGATGAATTGGTGTGGGGTAATCTCTGGTTATATAAAGCTACCAACGACAAAACTTATTTAGAAAAAGCCGTTCAATACTATAGCGAATATGATGTCGGTAAAATGGCTCAAGCAAACTCACACGATTGGGATCTTAAAGCACCAGGTGCAGCTCTTCTCTTAACACAAATCTTCCCAGGTAATGAAACCTACATAAGAGATATCGAAGGATTCTTAAATTGGTGGTTACCAGGTGGAGGTGTTCCATATACTCCAGGGGGTTTAGCTTGGATTAGAATGTGGAGCCCATGTCGTTATGCTGCTACTACCTCATTTTTAATGTCTGTCTATGGCGGTGATAAATATACCGATTTCACTGTTAAACAAATCTCTTATATTTTAGGTAACAATCCAAATCAACAATCTTTTGTTGTAGGTGTTGGAGAAAACCATCCAATCAATCCACATCATCGTGCTGCTCATCACTCATTAACCAATAACATTATGAACCCAGTCAACAATACTTATTTAATTACTGGCTCTCTTGTTGGTGGTCCATCTCAAGATGATTCATATAAAGATGATCGTACCGATTATGTTAGAAATGAGGTTGCTCTAGATTATCAAGCTGGTTTTGTAGGTTCCCTTGCTTATTTAGCCTCTCAACAACAACTTGCACATTAAAATGAATAATTATAATATGTTTTAACTAACATTAATAAAATTGTGTATTTTTAATTTAAATAATATTACTTTGTGTATTTGTGTTTCCTTTATTTTTTATTTTTTATTTTTTATTTTTTATTTTTTATTTTTTTAAATAATTAAAGTTTTGTAAATATTAGTTTTATTTATAAAGAGAAAATGAATAAAAAAAGGTAGTTTTTAATAAAAAAAAATTTTATTTTGATTTTTTAGATGGTTTTGGACTAGTATTTGGTTTTTTAATTTCTTCAAATTTTCTTTTAGCTGGAGTATTGGTATTGGTATCATTATTATCACTATTGTTACTGTTATTACTACTATTACTACCTGTTGACGAAAGTCTTGGTCTTCCTCTTTTTCTTTTTTCGGTTGATTCACCATTAGCATTTGGATCTTCAGAAACTATTATATTATTTGATTCGTTATTGTGACTAATTGTTTGGTTATCATTTTTATTTTCATTTATATTGTTGTTATCACCATCAATGAGAACATCTTCATTTTCGTCATCAGAATATTTTTTATCTGTTTCTTGGTCCTGATCTTGCTCTTGATCTTGATCTTCTCTTTGTAGCTTACGTTGTTGTGGTGTTAATCTACGGCTAGCAAATACTCTTTTTGGTGCTTGAATAGTTTCTTCTTCGCCCTCTTCATCAGATGAGATTAAATCATCATCGTCATCCTCCTCCTCTTCTTCTTCATCATCACTTCCAGCCTTCTTCTTTCTACCTCTTTTAGATTTTGGAGTTGATGTTGATAAGCCTTTCTTCTTTTTCTTTTTGGAATCGAGGTGAGCCTTATATTGTTCTAAAGTCATACCCTTTTCTATCATTCTAGCATATTGATTATCGGTGAGATCATCATGTACAAAATTATTTACAGAGGCAACAGCAGTTTGACGACGCTTACCAATTAAATCTTCATCTTTTTCAATGACTGGAGTTTGGAGGACCCATTCTGGTAATTCTTTTTCGATCATAAGACGTGGTTTAATTGGTTTCTTATTCTTTTTAGATTCGGCGAGATCTCTTTTGGCTTTTTCTTTATCCATCTCTTGGAATTGTATAAATTCATCGTCATCTCTAGCAATAAGTGTATTAATTTCTTTGAGATCAACTGGAACTTCATCAGCAGTATTGGATGGGAAACCATGAAGGAATTGTTCGAGCTTAGCACGACGCTCTTGATCGTTTGAATGAGTGTTAAACATACCAGCTTGAATAATTTTGGCATCAATTTCTAATTTGTCAGTGGCTCTTTCTAAAATCTTTTCTTCAATAGAGTTTGCAGAGATGAGACGGTAAACATTAACTGCATTTGTTTGACCAATACGATGACAACGATCTTGTGCTTGTAAATCCATTTGTGGATTCCAATCTGAATCGAAAATAATTACAGTATCAGCAGTTTGTAAGTTCATACCCAAACCACCAGCATGAGTTGATAAAACAAAAATCCAAAATGGTGAATCTGGTCTATTCCATTCGACAACAAGATGAGCTCTTTCTTCTGGTTTAGTTGAACCATCTAAACGAAGATAGGTCCATTCTTTGAGTGAGAAATATTCTTCCATAAGATTGATAACCTCTGTCATTTGTGTGAAAATTAAAACTCTATGTTTACTGGCATGCATTTTAGTTAAGATTTGGTCCATAGTATCAAATTTACCACTAGATCTAATAAGATCCTCGTTGATATCCCATTCTTCTTTAAAAAGATATGGATGATTACAAATTTTTTGCAATTGCTTAACAATATTGTTGAAACCTTTCATCTTTAATCTACCGGCTCTACCTTCTTTTGAATCTGGATCGACTGGTAATACACCATACTCTACTAAGCTTCTATACATTGCAATTTGAAGAGCAGATAAATTACATTTAATAACCTTTTCTTTTTTATCTGGTAATTGTGATTCGACATCAGATTTCAATCTACGCAATAAAAAGAATCTTAAAACTTGATGTAAACGATTGATAATAATGAGTTGTTCTTCTTCATTTACATTGATTAATGATTTGCTTTTTGATTGATTTTGGAATGGAGCGTTAAACCAATGTTCAAAGGTATCAGCAGAGTTGAAAATACTTGGTAGTAAAAAGTTTAATAATGCCCAAAGTTCACTAAGATCGTTTTGTAATGGAGTACCAGTTAATAAAAGTCTATGTTTGGATTTATATTGACGAAGTTGAAGTGAGAGTTTGCTATTTTTATTCTTGATACGATGACCTTCATCAATAATGATATAAACCCAATCTAGTTTACCCAAACGATTCTTATCTTTGATAATATATTCGAATGAGGTAATAATAACAACAAATCCATTCTTTGGAATTTGTCTAAAAACTTCTTTTCTTTCTTCTTGCTTTCCTTTATAAACAATAACATGGAGTTTTGGTGACCAACGAATAAATTCAGATGACCAATTACTGATGGTTGAAAGTGGTGCTACAACGAGGAATGGTTCACGGACATTCATTCTTTCATAAAGAAAAGAAATAAAAGCAATAGTTTGTACAGTTTTACCAAGACCCATTTCATCAGCCAAAATACCATTTAAATTACGATTGTATAATGAAACTAACCATTCTAAACCAGTGACTTGATATTCTTTTAATTTACCACCAGTCATAAGATCTGGTTGTTCAATAACCAAATGTGATGATTTCTTTGATAAAATTGTAGTGGTTGAAATAATTGGTGATGTAATTGATGCGATTGGTTGTGATGGTTCACCATTGTTTGAATTATTTGCATCGGCAATATCATCAGAGTTGGCTTTTTCAATTTCCATTCTTTCTCTTTCTGCTTCACGCTCTCTTTTTTCAATTTGTTCTTTTTCCATTAATGAATGAATACTTTGCAAAAGACTATCTGTTTCACCCAAAAGCATTTCTAAACGTTCATTCTTGGTTTTTGCTAAAAGATCTCTGTAACCTTCAGTATCACGAGCTTTAAGCAAACGAATACGCTCTTTAGCAAGACGTTCTGCTTCTTTTCTTTCTTTTTCTTTCATAAAACCTTGAAGTGCATTTATAAGCTTTCTTGAAATCTTCTTTTTAGAATGGAAATCTTTAAAGTCTCTAGCGTGTGTGAAAAGAGCTTCAAAGAATTTCTTTTTATTTGTGGCAATAACACTTTCTGGAATTTGGGTAGAAACATCGGTATCGAAAATAATTTCACTTGGGGATGAAATAACTCTTGGAATTGGTCTAACAAAAAGATTGTCATCCTCGTTAAATCTAAGTGATCTAATTAAAACTTGATCCTCCATTTCAGAGGCAATATCATGACGAAGTTTTCTTTGTAATTCTAATAATCTTAATTGCTTTGCTTCAATTTGTGATCTAATTCTAGCTTCTGGTGGTAAGCAATGAATTGGTATTTCTTTAAGCTCGTCAATACGAATTAGAACTTTGGCTTGAATTTTAATATCTCTTTCATTAATTGCTTGAATGGCTTCTGGTAAACCTTTAATACTCTCGACTGGTGGAATTAAACTGCTATAAACACCAGTAGGTAGCATTGGCTTATTTATAACTTCTTCTTCGTTATCTTCAATTTCTGTAATTTTATTACTATTATTATTATTACTCTTATTTAATTGTTGGGCTTGTTTTAACTTTTCTTCCTCCTCTTCCTGTTGTTGTTGAATTTGAAATAGTTTTAACTGATCCTTTTCATGCTTCTGTGCTAATCTTAGATTTGATAAATGTTGATATTCCATTGTATTAGTTGTAATTGGAACATTATTGGTTGTATCATATTTAATTAAACCCCTTGGATAGTATTTTAAATTTGCTAACTCCTCTGTAAATGATTGTACTGGTGCTCTTTCTAAAATTGGACCCATTTTTTGTAGTAAATATGGAGGTATTGGTAAATTCCTTGATATATATTTATAAGATTCAACCTGTGCTCTAAATAACTCGATATTTAAATTTAAGTCGTCTAACATGTTGCTATTTATAGTTGTGTTTGTATTTGTGTTTATATCTGTATTTGTATTTTCCATTGTTACTGTGGGTAATATTTAAAAAATTTATTAGTATTACGATTTATAATATTAAATAGCACGTGTCTTTATAAATATTTACCCTCTGGTACATTTGGTGCCATTTTATAGTGTATATATTTGATATATTTAAATTATTTTTGGGGTTTTTTATTTGGATTTTAAAAAAAAATAAAAATTTTAAAAATGGAAAATAAAAAAAAAATAAAAATAAAACAAGATCGGATAAAAAAAAAATTAAAAATTTAATTTAATTTATATTTATAAATACAATAATTACTGATCTATTATTTAGAATGATATATAAAATCAAAAAACAAATAAAACCAATTTATATATATTTTTATTTATTTGTATATATTTATTTTTTTATTATTATATTATACAAATAAAATAGAAAATAAATCGAAAAAAAAAATATGAACTATTAATGATTAATTTAATTGTGTTCCAAAGGCGGGGTGGATTAAAATTAAATTTTTGAAAAAAGTATATCTTTTTTTATATTTATGTTGTTTTCTATATGTAAAAAAATTTTGAAAAAATTAAAAAAAAATTATAAAAAAATTGAAAAAATTAAAAAAAAAAAATTTAAAATATTTGAAAAAATTAAAAAAAAAAAATTAAAAAAAAATAAAAATTTTTATTTAAATATTTTTAATATGGTAATATTTTTTACTTTAACGACAAAAAAATGTTCACATATTAAAAATTACTAAATAATAAATAGGTGTAGCTATTCTAAGACCTATAAAAAAAAAAAAGAAAGAATAAAAATAAATAGAATTCTAAAACCTAAAAAAACATAATTCTCCAGATGAAAAATTATTTGATAAAAAAATAAAATTTAAAAATTTCTAAATTTAATTAAAAACGAAAAAAAAAAAAAAAAAAAAAAAGATAACTTAAATTTTTTTTATATTAATTTCTTAATTATGCATGTAAAATATTTACATGATATAAAGAATAAATTATAATAGCATTTTTGGATTGCTATTCTATTTTATTTTATTTATTTTATTTTATTTTATTTTAATAAATAATAATTTTATATAAATATAAATTAAAATAGTTATATATTTTTTGTATTATTATTATTATTATTATTGATACATGAGTTACAACATGAAATTAAATTAATTGACGATGTTGAAATTGGTTTTAAATCGATACTATTATTGTTGTTATTATTTAAGGTATTGGTGGTATTGTTTTTATAAGTTATAAAACATTTATCGCAAATTGCATTTTGGCATTGACTACATTTGAAACCGCTTGATTTTTGAAAGATATTATTATGGTGTTTTTTTCCATTAACACTAACAATATATTTTAAAATTACTCTATTACATTCGGAACAACGAGATGGTTTTTTTTCACCCCTTAATAAGTATGGTGATTTTCTTTTGTTTGAAATAAAGTTTGATAAACCATTATTGTTGATATTATTGGCGTTTGATTCTTCGTCATCTGAAATGTTTAATGGTGGTGGGTAATATACATTAAAATCGGAAATATTAAAATTTAAACTAAATGAATTTGGTGTTATACTGGATGATAATGATGTGAATAATGGTTTTGATGGTAGAGTTGTTGTACTTGTGATAGTTGAGCTACTGGTATTGGATGATGATGTTGTTGAAAAAGTATTAAATGTAGTACTTAAAGTTAAATTTGTAATACTTTTGGGTGATAATAATGGAGGGGTATTGATTGAAAGGGTTGACAAAAGTTCTGGTGAGTAAAGATTATCGATACTATTTGATAAGCTATTTGAGGTTGATGATGCGGGTGATGATAATGAAGAGTTGATACAGGTGGTTTCTTTTGTTTGTGATGATGCTAGTGTAACTTCGCTACTATCAATTGTTGTTGACATAAAAGATATACTTGAGTTTTTACTGTTTAAAAATAATGATTTATCATTTAACACAATATCGGTTGGACCCATTTTTAAGATTATATGTTTGAATATTTATTTTTGATTAAAAAGATGATTTAGATTTTATAAAGTTATTTTATTAAAAAAGAGAATTTTTTATTTTATATCTTTTTTTATTTATTTAATAATATAGAAATTTCTATGATTTTTATTTTTGATTACTAATGATTATTATTTATATAGTTTTTGTATATTATTTCTTTTTACTTTTGGATTGTTAAAAAAATAAATAGAATTTATATTAAAATTTAAAATATAAAATAATAATTTTAATTACTGAAAAATAAAATAAAAATACGATTATTTAAACTAAAAAAAAAGAAATAATATTTGAATAAATATTTATTATAATGAGTATATTATTATGTGTAAAAAAAAAAAATAAAGTGTGATATTTATATAAATTGAGAACAAAAAAAAAAAAATTAAACAAATAATGTTTAGATTTATAGTATGGTTATAAAGTATATAGAATATATGTAAAACAAGTTTATTAAAAAAGTATATATTTGGTATATGATATTATTAATGTATAAATTTATAGATAGGTAGTGTAAAGTAAAAATGATTTTTTAATTTTTTTTTTTTTTAATTTATTTTTTGGTGTGTGATATTGAGAGTGTTAATAAAAAAATAAATAAATAAAAATAAATTTAATAATAAACGAATTTGTGTTTATATAAATAGAAACCAATACAAAGCTATTATTAATATAATAAAAAAAAAAATATATAATTAGATGAGGAGAGTATTAATGATTTATAAAGTGTATTAGAAGAAACAGATAAATTAAAATTGGTTTATATATATTTGTATATGTAGTTGAAATGACAAAATACAAAAAATAAATTATTGTTGATATATCTTTTTTTTTTTTTGTAAATTAAATAAAGACAAAAAAAAAAAAAAAATTTAAATTAAAAAAAATTAAAATTAAATAAATCGATATACAAATAAAAAAACAAATAATACTTTATTTGTGTATGTGGGTGTGTTATATGATAGGGGTTAAATTTATTTGTATTATAATGTTTAAGTGTAAAGAAATAAAAAAATGATGTGTACGCGTTATATATTAATTAAAGATAATAAACAAAAAAAAGGTAATTATAATATTATCTGTATGTGTTTATTATTATGTTATATATATATATTTATATAAAATGTATAAATATGTACAATAAATAATTTAAATTATTTTAAAATTTGGTACAAATTAAAATAAAAAAAAAATAAATTCACTATTTATATCATTTTTCTTATATATTTACAAAACACACACACAAAACCAACCCACATTATTTAAAAACATACACTCTACACACCCACACTCTAGAGGTATAATAACATTATATTGATGTGTTATTGTTGTGTGTTGGATATATTTTAACATATTATACATATATATACCTAATATCACACCCACGCTAATAAATAAAAAAATGAAAATAAAATAAAAATATAGTTAAAACTTCAAGTACAAATAAAGAGGATTTATGAGAGAGACTTTTGAAATATTGTTTGAAAAAAAAAAAAGTACATTCTTAATGGAATCATATCCAAATTTGTAAGTGTGGTTGTTTTTGTTTTTATTTAAGTTTTTATTTGGTTTGGTTAATAGAAAGAAATTATTTTTAATTTTTTGAGTTTTATTTCTGTGAGTGTTAGAATGTGGTGTGTTGATCATTAAATTTATTTTAATTGTGAGAGTGTGAGTGTGTTTAGGTTTTTTTTATTTATTTTTTATTGTATTAATTTATGTGGTTGGTAGTGGGGTATATTAATAATTATTACGATCTGAGAGTGTGAGATTGATCAATTAAGTATTAATTAATATTTTGTAAAATAACAATAAAAGTTTTGAATAACAAGGAAATAATAATAATAAAAAAATAAAAGTAAAGATGAATAGAATTTATAACTAACTAATTAACTAACCATTAAAATAACAGGCTTATTTATCTCTTATCCTATTTAATTGGTTATTATTATTGCATAACAGTATTATTATAATAATTTGCTATGTGCAGTTATATAAAGAAATTACACTTTTTTTTGCCATTTTGTTGTTATGGCATTATATTTACATTATTATTGGTTGTTATTGTATCTACCCCGAAATAAATTAATATTCTGTAGGCTTTTTTATGAGTGTGGGAGATTTTAGGTGGTTATAAATATATTTTGATGTTATTAAATTATTATAATAGTTTTGTACAACTGCATTTATTTGTGTAACTAATTATTTTTAAACCTTATTGATTTTGTATATGTATATCTAAAATGGGTATTGTTTTTTTATTTGATGAATCAAACAAAATAATTAATAATAGTAACTATAGGCGTGGAAAAAAGATAGGGTCGAGATTTTTTTTGTTATTATAAAATTTAAATATAGTTGAATTTTCGTTTTTTAAATAAAACACACTAATTGTGCCTTCCACATTTCACATTTCAAATTTAAAAAAAAAAAATTAAAAAAAAAAAAAAAATAGTAAATTGGTGGGGGATGGGTGTTTTTAAATGGAGGCTTAACACAACCATTTAATCTTTGAAATATATATTTATATTAGTGAGTGTGAGTGTGGGTGTGGGGGAGTTTATATATTTTTTATATTTTACTTGGTTATAAAGAAAGAGGGATTTATTTTGGGGGGTGTGTTTTTATTGATTTAAATAAATGTTGATGTTGATTTTAAAACTTTTATTCATCAAAAGTTTTTCAGATTATTATTTTTTAATAATGGGCATTGTAGAAATATATTTTACAAATGTTATAGTTGGTTTTGATCTCGCAAATAAGAATAAACACTATTATACCGATATATTCCTTTGAATTTTATTTTTTTATAATTATTATCTTTGAAGAAAAGTTTTCTGGTATATTATTACATTATTTAAAAGTCTCGTACTTAAATGAAGGTTTGTTGTATTTTCCAATAAAAAAACAAAAAATTAAATAAATAAATAAAACAAGATTAAAATGAGATTATACTGTTTAATTTAATAAAATATTTCTAATTATTATTTTTTTATTTTTTTTTTATTATTTTTTTTATGAAAGATATGAAAAATATTATGTGGTGCTTTTAAGTTTTATTTACTTTTATTTACAATTATATTTAAATAAGATTGTATATTATATATATAACGATTTATATGGGATTTCTTAACCTCCACTGACTGGTGGAATTATGGCAATTTCATCTTTTGAATTGATCTCTATATCTCTGCCTCTTTCAACATATTCTTGGTTTACTGCTAATAAGCTAATATCTAGAATCTAAAATTTTTAATAGTGTTAGTATCCAAACTGCTTTATTATGATTCTAATGTTTATAAATATCGTTAGATTTACTGGTATGATTTCTGGATGCAATGTCTTTAATTGACTTATTAAATGTAAAGTTGTATTCTTTCCTTTTGGTAGCTCGACTACTATGCTTGTTTTATTACCCACAACTTCTTTTGCTTTTGCAAATAATAATATTTCAAATTTATCCATCTATTTAATTTAAAAAAAATATAATAAAAAAAAAAAAAAAAAAAATAATTTCATTTTTTTATTTTTGTTTTTTTTTTAAATTAATTTTTTTTTAATTTTTTATAATTATTTTATCAAAATATCATACACATATTAATGCCAAAATAACCAAGAAAACTATGTTCCTCGCAATAATAAAAAAAGTCTCAACATTGTTTTTTTCACAAAATTTTTTTTAATTGATATTGAAAGTTTTTGTTTGATAATAAAATTTAAAATCAGATTCAATACTCCCAAAATCAATTAATTTTTTCAAAATAAATCTTTGATCTTGGTTATTTTCAATAATAAAAAAAAATTTAACATTTAGTTTAATAATAATAATAGATTTTAATTTATTCAATTTTTTTTTTTTTGTAATGTTATAATTTTTGTAATGTTATTCTTTTTAGAAACTTTAGAATAAAGATCTAAAAAATTAAGACCAAATAAATGGTCTCAATGGCAACCTTAATAGGTAACAGCTAAAATAGCTAAGTTTGGTTGATCAGCTGGAGTACCACATACGATGAAACCAAATGTATAAGAGCTGTTTTTTTAAAAGTGGTAATTGAAAGGGTTAGAATTTATAAATTTAATGATAATAGTATAGGTAATTTAAAACTTACGCATTCTTATTGATTGATGGTTGAACTTTTGGTAAGGTTAATTCATTATCGGCACAACGTTCCATGTTCCAAAGGTTGTGGTTGTCATTATCCTTGAGTCTAAAGTTATTGCAGGTACCGATAAAGATGTTTTTGATATCGAATTCGAGGTTATTAGTAATGGTAACATCGTATTGAGTGAAATGAGCACCATTTACATCCCAAGTGGCTACTACTTTGGTTGAGAGGACAACATCATGACATTTTGGAATATCAATGCAAGCACAAATACCAAACTTGGTGAGTGAGATGGTTCCATCGGCACATTGTACACTACCACAACCATAACGATGAGCAGAGGCAAAGGCAATTGAAAGTAAGACGAGGCAAATAATTGAAATTAATTTCATTTTGTTGTTTTTTTTTCTTTTTTAGAATATTAGTTTTGTTTTTTTATTTGTTAATTTGTTTTGTTTGAATTGTTGAATTGAAAAATATGATTAAAAAATTTATTCTTTTATAGATTTTTCTTCTTCCTTTTTTTCCTTTCTTTTTTTTTTTTTTTGATTTAAAATTTTAATTTAATAATTAAATTTAAATTAAATTATAATACCAAACCAATTATAAAATACAAATTAATTTATCATGCCAACATTTCCTAAGTTGATATTGCCATCGTTTGTATCTAAAGTTTATTAATAAACACAATATAATTTATCTGTATAATCTGGGGTTTTAAAAAAAAAATGATAAATTAGATAAAAAAAAATATAAAAAAAAAAATATATTTTTTTTTTAATATTTTTTTAACACGTTTATGTGCTTTTCACCATAACTACATATCATAATAATAATTTTTTTTGAATAGTAACTCTAATGTTTCTATTTTTGATTATTGTTATAATAAATTTTATATTTTTTGTATTAATGTGGTATTAAACAATACTATATTTACAATATCATAAAAAAAAACTTAAAAGTTTTTTTAAACAATTTAAATTTTAAAAAATTAAATTACAAACATGGGTCATGATCAACTACATATATGATAATAATATTAAAGTAAAAAAGCTCATGTTTTATTAGATTACAAAGAATTACATAACATTTATTTACTAAAAAAAACAAAACAATCATATAATAAAATAACAATAATCAATTTTATAATATAATAAATAGGAATCACTAAAAAAATTTCAATAGTTTTTTTCATAAAAAAAAAAGATACCAAAACACTATTTGCTTTGTTTTGGTTTTTTTTTTTTTTTTTTTTTTTTTTTTTTTTTTTTTTTGGGGGTTTTTTTTTTTTTTTTTTTTTTTTTTTTTTTTTTTAAAAATTTTGGGGACCCGTCGGTTTTAAACCCTGCCAAAACCTTTTAGGGTTTAAAAAAAAAAAAAAAAAATTTTTTTTTTTTTTTTAAAAAAAAAAAATCTTTTTTTAAAAATTTAAAAAAAAGGGGTTTTTAATTAATTAAAAAAAAAAAAAAAAAAAAAAAAAAAAAAAAAAACCCAGATTCAATAAAATAATTATAAAAAAATAGAACCCAGACTCATTGTAATAGTTTTAAAATATAAAAAAACATTACAATGATTTTGTTTTAAAATTTTAAGTGTCAAAATAATTATCTTTTTTTTATAAAAATATTTTATAATAATTTCATTTTATTCGAGATTGTTCTGCAGATTACCTATTGACTTTTCTTTTCAAAAAACGTTCATTTTACAAACAAGTCATTTCAATTTTTTTTTATCGACGCTTCATTCGCAACATTAATGACTAAAATAGAAAAATGCAAAAAAAATTAAAAAAAAAGTTTTAAAAATAAAAAAATTAAAATTAAAAAAAAGAATCAAAAATATCGGTTCTAACCGAAGATATTTATGTTTAATATGTAACCAAAAATCTCCTCGATGCCGAAAAAGTATTTTTCAAAACAACTCTAAAAATAATAATTATAATCAAGATAAATTTTATTTATTTAAAAATAAAATATGTTTTAAAATAAAATAAAATAAAATAAAATAAAAAAAAAAAAAAAACAAGATAAAAGAATTTTTTTTTTTTTTCTTCTTTACATATTTCCACCCATTGCTACAATTTTTATTTTATTTTATTTTATTTGTATTTTATTTTTGTAAATTATTTTATTTGTATATTATAAAAAAACTATTGTATATTATATCCTAAAAGTGTAAAAAAAAAATTTTGTAAATTTATATGTGTAGAAATAAAATTTTAAATTTATAAAAATAAAATAATAAAGATAAAAATAAAATAAAATGGCTTATGAAGAAGATGGTTCAAATTCTGGTCTTTCAGCTTCTGTTGATCAAATAGGTAGTGAAGTCTCGAAAGGATCTATCAAAGGGAATGGAAGCGAGTATTCAGACAAACCAGATTTGGAAAATGGCAGTAACAATGAAATAGTGTACAGTGGAAGTGAAACTAAGTTTCCGACATCAATTAAATTCATTTTAGGTAATGAAATTTGTGAAAGATATTCTTTTTATGCTTTAAGGTATTTATTTAATTATTTTAAAAAAAAATAAAAATAGATTTTTTATTAACCCTCTAATTTTTTTATATAGATCTATTCTTACCAACTATTTAATCAGTTTTATGGGCTACTCAGAAAGTAATGCATCATCAATTGGTCATGGTTTTAATGCAGGTGCATATATTTGGTATGTATTAAATTAAAAAAAAAAAAAAAAAAAAAAAAAAAAAAAAAAAAATATTTATTAATTTTTTTATTTATAGTTCTTTAGTAGGTGCCTATATTGCTGATGGTGTTTGGGGTAAATACACTACAATTTTAAATTTTAGTATTCTTTACTGTATTGGTGCCACTATTTTCTCAGTTACCGCTATCCCAGGTGTTACTGGTAGTGGCCCAGGTGACAGATCACCATGGGGTTTAATTATTGGTTTAGTTGGTATTGCTGTTGGTACTGGTGGTATTAAACCAGTCGTCTCTGCTTTTTGTGGTGATCAATTTGGTCCACATCAAAAACAATTACTTCAAAATCTTTTCCAAGTCTTCTACTGGTGTGTTAACTTTGGTTCATTCTTCTCAACTATTCTATCACCAATTCTTAGAACAAATGTTGGTTATTGGTGTGCTTTTGTAGTACCAGCTGTAATTTTGGTAATTTCCATTTTAATTTTCGTACTTGGCAATAAGAGATATGTTAAACATAAACCACAAGGTTCAATCTTAAAAGATTGTGCTAAAATTTTTGGATGTGCTATTAAAGAAAGATTTAAAAAGTTATTCCAAGGAAAGAATTATAATGATATTTACTATACCGATAGCTTTTATGATAGAGCTAAAGGACGTTATGACCCAAGAACTGTTGAACAACTTAAATTAGTTTTAAGAGTATTAACTATTTTCATTCCACTTCCATTCTTCTGGGCACTTTATGATCAAGTAAGTATAATTTTATAATTTTATAAAAGTTTATTATTATTTATTTTTTATTAATTTTTTAATTATTTATTTTAGACCGGTACTCGTTGGACCATTCAAGCCAATAATATGGATAGACAATTAGGAAGTTGGGAAATCGATTCTGAAATGATCAATGCCGTAAACCCAATCTTGGTTATGATTTTTGTACCAATCTTTGAATATGGTATCTACCGTCCATTACAAAGACGTAATATCAACTTTTCTCTTCTCCGTAAGATGGGTGCTGGTATGTTCTTATCCGTTATTGCTTTCTATATCTCTGCCATTATTCAAGTTAAGATTGACAACAGTCCACCAAACTCTGTTCATATCGCATTACAACTCCCACAATATGTCGTTTTAACTGCAGGTGAAGTTCTTTTATCAATCACCGGTCTCGAATTTGCCTACAAAAACTCACCACGTTCAATGAAATCTATGGTTATTGCTGGTTGGTATTTATGTGTTTCCATTGGTAATATGTTTGATGCATTTGTAATTGAATTAATCAAACTCCCAGAATACCAATTATCATTATTATTTGGTTCTGTTATGTTTGTTTTCATTTTCATTTTCATTATTATTGCCTATAGATTCAAACCAATTCCACAAGAACTATTAGACGAATTGAATGGTGACACCCCAGCCAATAACCCAGATGCAAAAGAAATGGACATCGTTGCTCAATTGAAAAAGGATGAAAAATTAAGTTCAAGTGTTGACTTTAATAAAGCTGATGAGTATAATGAAAACTAACTATAAAGTTGATCATTAAATCTTATCTTGTAATATAATTATAAAAAAAAAATAATAAAAAAATTAAATAAATTAAAATCTATTTTAAAAATTAATTTATTGGTGAGTCTATATTATTATTATTATTATTATTATTATTATTATTATTATTATTATTATTATTATTATTAACATCTTTTAATTCTGTAATATTATCATTGTTGTAAATATCATCATTATTTATTTTATTAAGTTGGCTTCTGTGTAATTGATCGGATCTTCTTTTATTAAAAAAATAAATCATTTTCACCAAATCCACAATAGTTTTATCACCAGTTATAATATCTATAGTACCCCCTATATATGAACTTAAATTACCTATATTTATATATTAAAAATATTAGTTTTTCTAAAATGCTAATAATAAAAAGATTTTAATATCTTACCACCAGTACCAGCCGATAAAAATATTCCCACTATTTTATATCCTATAGGTAATCCTTTACCAACAAGAGGAAATGACTCATATTCTTTACACACTTTAATTAATTATATACGAATATATTAAAAAAAACAATTAAAATTAAAATTCAATACAATAAAACAAATAATTTTTTTTTTTTTTCTAAATTTTACCTAAAATAATTCCCAATATAAAACCACTAAGTACTCCAAACACAGTACCCAGCGATCTATTATTAGATTTCATTAACCTAATTAATACTCTCTGAAGTAAGTTAGGTTCTTTATTATTTGGATTTTTTATCATCTTATATAAATGTTTTTTTTTTTAAAATAATAATTTATAAAAATAGAAAAAATCGAATTTATTATATCTTTAAATAAAGATATTTATTTATAATGCTACAATTATAATAAAATAAATATTTAGTTTAATATCTCTATATTATACATAATAATTTAATTATTTATTAAATTATAAAACTAATGAAGAAAAATTATAAACCGAAAAGAAAATTTATTAAAAAAAATTAAAAAAAAAAAAATTAAAAAAAATAAAAATAAAAAAAGTGTGAAACTGTGGGGAGATATTAATTCATTCATATTGTATATAAATAATTATATATTAGTGTATAAAAGAATTGTTTTTGATTATATCTATTTTGTTTATATGTGCATATTAGAATTTTCTGAATTAAAAAAGAATGTGATGATCTTAATTACATGAAATAAAAATTTAGATATTTAAAAAATAAAAATTTTATTTTTTTTGTTTTTTTTTTTTAATTTATTTTTTAAAATTTTTAAATTTTTATTAATTATTTTTCAAGTATCTCTGGTATTTTTTGTCATTTTTTTATTTTACATTTTTAACTTATACAAATGTTTGTAAATATTAAAAAATGATAAAACTTTTTAGACCATTAACAAAAAATATAGTTATAAATTCAATTACAAAATCACCCACTTCTATAGTTTTTATAAATAATAACAATAATAATAATGATGGTTTTAAAAATAAAAGATATTTTACAACAAATAATAATTTAGAAAATAATAATAGCACCATTGATAAAAATAGTAATAATATAATCGATAAAAATAAAATTTTAACAGATAAGTTTAATAGACATCATACATATTTAAGAATTTCACTCATAGATACATGTAATTTAAAGTGTCTTTATTGTCACCCAGAAGAAGGTTTCATTAAACAGCAACAGGATAAATTATTAACAGCCGAAGAAATTATTAGATTATCAAAATTATTTGTATCTGCTGGTGTAAATAAAATAAGATTTACTGGCGGTGAACCATTGGTATGTAAGATTCTATTTTTAGGTTGAAAATTAGATATTAATTTTTTTTTTTTTTTTTTTTTAGGTCAGAAAAGAAATAGATAAAATTATAGAGGAAGTTGGTAAAATTAAAGGTATCGAAAAAATTGGAATTACAACAAATGGAATTTTATTAAATAGAAAATTAGAAAATATGTATAAAAGCGGTGTAAATTTATTTAATATAAGTTTAGATACATTGGATCCAAAGAAATTTATGTTGATAACTAAAAGATTGGGCTGGGAACGTGTAATGAAATCAATAGAGGAAACATTAAAACTAGATAATGTAAAGGTCAAAATCAACTGTGTTGTAATGAAAGATTTAAACGATATGGAGGTAAGTAATTATAAATTATTAAAAAAATTAAATGATATTAAATTTTTATTTTTATTTTAGATTAACGATTTTGTTGAAATGACAAGGAACAAACCAGTTGAAATTAGATTTATTGAAATGATGCCATTTACTGGTAATAAGTGGTCTGATCAAAAGTTTGTTTCATATCAAGATATGATAAAGATTATTAAAGAGAAATTCCCAACATTTGAAAAGTATACAGAAGAAGAGGCAAATAACACTTCAAAAACATACCATGTTCCAGGGTTCAAAGGTAAAATTGGATTTATTACTTCAATGAGCGAGCATTTTTGTTCATCTTGCAACAGACTTAGAATAACTGCTGATGGAAATATTAAAGTTTGTTTATTTGATAATGCGGAAGTTTCGTTAAGAGACCAAATTAGAAATGGTGCAACCGACGAAGATTTATTAAAGATCATAAACGCTGCTGTACTTAAAAAGAAAGCTTCTCATGCTGGTATGTATGAGATTTCAAAAAATGAAAATAGACCAATGATTTTAATTGGCGGTTAAAAAAAAAATAAAAAATAAAAAAACATCAAAATTTAAAAAAAATAAAATTAAATTTATATTTCTTTTTTTATTATTGTTATTAATACAACAATATATAAAATTTATAATGGTATTATTAAAACAATTAGTTAAATATTATAATCAAGGTTATAGATATATTAATAAAGCTCACATAAATATAGATAAAACTATTGGTGGGAGTATAAAAAGTTTTGGATTAATACAGGAACAAAGATTTTATTCAAGTAGTAACCAATTCACACATATTGACAATGAAAATAAAATGCCAACAATGGTGGATGTATCAGATAAAATTATAACAAAGAGGACTGCACATGCAAGATCAACTATTGAGTTCCCACCCCATGTATTAAAAGAATTATTAAATGTTGAAAACTCAGATGGTGGTATTAAAGGTGAAGAAATTGTATCGAAAAAAGGACCAGTTTTTGCGACATCAATCGTAGCAGGTACAATGGCTGTTAAAAACACATGGAATTTAATTCCATTTTGCCACCCAATCGCAATTGAATCATGTAAAATTAATATAAAGATTATGGACTCCACCAATGTACAGGTAGATTGCATAGTATCATTACACCACAAAACCGGTGTTGAAATGGAGGCTCTCACTGGTGCCTCCGTTGCAAGTTTGTGTATCTATGATATGTGCAAAGCTCTTTCAAAAGATATTATAATTAAAGAAACTAAACTAATTTCAAAAACTGGAGGTAAATCCTCACAAATCCATAGTGATAGCAGTGCTACCACAAATAAAAACATTTAAACAAGCCAATAAAATTTAAATTTCCTTTTTTACTCTAACCATTTAAATTAACTATAGTTTTAAAAAATGGTTAATTTCTTTTATAAATCTTTTTTACTTCTTTTGGTATCATTTTTAATTTCGATTAAGGTAATTTTCTTCGCACCACCCCGCTATACACATTTATTCGTTTAAGAAAATGAGAAGAATTATAAAAAAAAAAAAGTTAAAAGTGGGTGGGGGTGTGGTTACATTTTTTTTTTTAAAATTTTATTTTTAGAAATCTGTTTTAATTTGACCATGAGATACATAAAATGTGTGTGGGTGAGTGGGGTATTGTTTTGAAATTATAGTTTAATTTTTTTTAATAAACACAAAAATTATTTATATAATTATTTTTTTGTTTTTATTAAATTTTCATTTTTGAATTTACCACTTTTTAGATAACCCCCATTTATTATAACAATAACCCTATATTTATTTAATATTCCTTTATTCGCATTGAACTTTGGAATTTTAATAAAATTTATTTGTTTTAACTTTTTTAAAATTTATTTTATATTATTTAATTTTTTTATTTTAAAAAGAAATTTAGTTTTAACTTTATTTTTTATTTAATTCTTTAAAACCATTTATATTTTTTAAAAATTTTTATTTTATTTCATTTTTTTTATAAACTCTTTGTTAAATATATTTTTTTACTAAAATTCATTATATATTATAATTTTTTCATTTTTTAAAATAAAAAGTATATATGTTATAATTTTTTTTTCCAACTTTTTTTTAATTTTCAAAATCTTTATTTTATTATATAAAATGCAAGATAATTTATATAACCAATCAATTCCCAATAAAGGCTCATTTGAAGAGTATAATCAAAATGACAACTCATTCTTTTTTGAACCAATTGACAAATATATAGATAGTTATGGTATCATTAATGACGAATATGTTCCAACTAACTCCACAAATACAAATAATAACAGCGATAGTTTACTGTTCCCAGTATTCCTCGGTAGCCTTTCAAATACCCCAAAAAAGACCCCAAATGGACTATCGAAATATTTACAAAGTAATTCAATTATTCCATCCCTACCAATAAGCCAACCAAGTGAAGCAGAGCCAGTATCCTCTCAAGTTGTACCCAATACTTTAAACTCCTCCTCTGACTATATGTTACCCATATATAACGACATCCACAATACCAACGAAACTCAAATAAACACCAACAATACAAGCAATAATATACCCGAACCCAACTGTAATATTAATGAAACTAATAAATATAATAACACTCAAACCATACCGATAAACACACAAAATAATAAAAAAAACGAAAAAAAAAAACCAACAAAACAATTAAATAATACCCAAGGTACCAATAGTAATGTAAATAATACTCAACTAAATAATGAAATAAATGAAATGAATGATATTTCTTATAATGGAAATACTCAACAAAATAGTAATAACTGTATAAATAATATTAATATCAATAATAATATAAATAATAACTATGTATACTCTTATCAAAGCTCCCCAAACTATAGTAATGTTACAATTCAAGAACAAGAGAAAATGCAACTCACCAGTAATTGTTTTAATGTAATAATTTTATTAAAAAAAAATTTTATTATTTCTATTCATTTTATTAATTTTAAATTTTTTATTTAGCTAATTCAATATTGCAATCAACTTTCTTATATCACCAAACAAGCATATAACAATCCCTATGTAGTTCCTGAAGAATTAAATGCTTTATCAACTTTGGGAAACTATATTCAATACGAAATTTCTGCCATTAAGTCATCTTTAATAAAAAGACCACTAAAAGATACTCAAAAAATATATTCAAATACCACAATGAACTCCCCAAGAAACAATTATGACCAGTCAATGTTGGTTCCATCCTCATATGGTAATTCACCATTACCTAGCAACAGTGGATACTACTCACCTATACCAGATCAAAACAATTCATCTAATGTTTTCTCAAGTGCCATCTCATCTCCATTTCCATCAAATAGCCCACCAAACATTAGTGGTAAGGTTGTAAAAAAAAACCAAATTAAAACCTTTAAACAATCACCTACATATATTAACTTGACCGAAAATATGATTCGTGCACAAACGAAAAAAAATAAAAAATCATCAAATAGAACCTGTGTAAATTGCAAAACAAGTGATACCCCTGAATGGAGAAGAGGGCCACAAGGTGCAAAAACCTTATGTAATGCTTGTGGAATTAGATATAGATTACAACAACAACAACAACAAGGTAATGAAGATTATAACATTAAAAAAGAAAACTGTATACAAACAAACAATGTAATAACTACTCAACAAAATAATAATTTTGGTGATCAATTTATTAATTCCAAATAAAAAATAAATTATAAAATTAAAATATAAAAACTTTTTTTTTTTTAATATATATCTCCAATGCGCATTTTTATTTAATTTAATACGAATAAAGGAATTGTTGTATCTTATTTTAATATTATTATTAATTATTTATTATCGAGATTTAATGTTATTGGTTATATTATTTCTTTAAATTTGATATAATTTCTTTTCTTGCTTCTGAAAGTTTATTAAAAGTAAAAGTATCTTGACTGTTTTTTGAAAAGTTTACAGGTACCCATTTTTCTTGTTTAGCTTCTCTACTTTTAGCTAAATTTCTTTGAGTTTCTTCGACCATAGCCTTTTGATTTTGAGCTTCGTCTTCATTGTTTGCTAACATTTTTGAAATTACGTGTTTCCAAACCTTTCTTGAATAATTATCCTCTTGTTGGTCTTCTGTTGGTAAAATTGGTTTTTGGCCTTCACTATTTATGTCGAGGAATAAAGTTGTATCGTTTGATTTAGTTGAAGTAATTGAGACAGTACCATCCCATCTACCCTCCAATGAATAAAGGGATTTTTTATTTGATGTGTGTTTAACTTTAGCAACCATTGATGTTTTATTTTTAAATAAACCTTTTCCTTTAAATTCGATCTCTGCTGAATAACCTGTTTTTTTACACACTAAATTAGTTGAACCAATAGTTTCTGTTTGTAAACTACCAACAACAACTCCTTTTACAACAATTTTTGGTGCTTCTACAATATATTCTTCATCTAATGATGGTATCTCAAAAACAATTTTTCCCTCCACTGAAATTTAAAAAAAAAAAAATTAATATTTATTTTTATTTTTTGTTAAAAATAAAACTATACATAATACATACTGGAAGATTCGAATGAATTTCCCCAAAATTTAGAAGTTGGTGATAAATAGGAATGAAGAATTACACCTTTTTCGGTATTATAAAAACAAAATGCTGAACTTGGTGGGTGATGTGAAATTTGTTCTGCAATGTATTCAGTGCAGCTGTCAGCATGTTCCCATTTGCATGTATGAACCTCACCAATAATTGGATTAAATGGATTTTTAGTTTCTTTTTGTTGAATCCATCCTGATAAATAAAATTTCAAAATTTCTAAAAATCTTTGTTCCTCTGATTCGACGGTTGGTGTTCTAATAATAGTTTTTTATTTTTAAATATTAATATTTTTTATTTTTTTATTTTTTTATTTATATTTTATATTAACTTACTTTAAAAATATATCTAAAAATAAGCCCATATCTGTAAATTTTTCTAATAATGAACGTGGCTCGTTATATGAAATTGGTAGTGACATTTTATAAAATGGTTGTTTTGATGATACAAATTGTTTAATAAAGCCTGTCTTTTTTTGTCCTTCGATTTTTGGTGACTCTTCACTACCATTAATATCTAAATCATCGTCAATTTCATCTTCTAAAACCTCTTCTTCTAAACCTTCTTGATATTTTGAATCGTCTGAAATATCTGTCATTTTTTTTTTTAATTTTTAAATTATATTTATTATAATTTTATTATATTTTACTTTTAATTTATATAAATTTTAATTTAATCTTTATAGATTATAATTATTACTATTACTATATAATTATTTATTATTATTGAATAATTGAATTTAAACAAGAAAAATTGAAAAATTGAAAATAAAAAAAATATTGTTTCTGGTTAAAATTTTTTTGAATTTTTTTGAATTTTTTTTTTCTTTTTCAAAAAAAAAAAAAAATGGTTGGGATTTGAAAAGAGAATATGTCAAATGTGTAATTTTACAAAAAAAACTAAATTGGTGTTATAGTTCGTAATTTTAATTAAAAAATATTTATAAATAAAGAGATATTAAAAAAAGATAATTTAAACCAAAACAAAAAAAAAAAAAAAAAGAAAAAAGAAAAAAAAAAAAAAGAAAAAGAAAAAAAAAAAAAACATCTTTCACAGTTTTGTGTCTCTGTTCGGTTTATTAAAAATATTTTTTTTTATTTATTTTTTAATTTTTTTTTCAATTCATGTCATCATTTTTGAGATATTTTTTTTTTTGCAAACGTGTTTTTTTTTTCTATTGTGACAAAAAAAAAAACGAAAAAATTTACTAACTAATCAATTAAAATATTTTAATTTTAAAAATAAATTAAAACTTAATAAATCTAAAATTCAATAAAATTTAAAAACCTAAAATAAAATAAAATAAAATATAAAATAAAATAAAATAAAATAAAATAAATAAAATAAAATAAAATATTAAATTTCCAAATTTATTTTTCTTTTTTTTTTTTTTTAATTTAATTATTGCATAATTATAGTTTAAAAATATATTTTTTTTAATTTATTATATAATTTTGCTTGGTCTAAGTCATTAAAAAATCTAATTTTATGTTTAATTTCAGTGGAGTTAATAAATTCTTTTAAATTTGGTTGTAAATTAGAACTAAAATAAATATGTTTAATTGAATTTGGGAGGGGTAGTTTAATGGTTGGATCGGCTGGTGAACCTCCTAATATAACAATTTCGAGTGATGGAACTAGGGTTTCATTTGATAGTGTTATGGTGTTACAGTTTAAATTCTTTAATTTGGAATATTTTAATTCCAAATCTAATAGTTTTAAATTTGGAGGAAGTGGAGACGTCAGATTATTACCAAAAAGGTACAATGTATATTTGAAGTCTAATTTTAATGATTTTAGGTGTATTAATTGAGTTAAATTTTGTTTTAGAGAATTGTCAAATGTGTCGGTGTTGAAGTTGTTAATGCTGCAAAATATTTCTAAGTTTACTAGATGAATAGATAAAGGAGATACACATACATCACTGGGTGATATTATGTGGAGATAGCATATGGATTTAATATTTGGAAAGTTATTAAAGTTGATAAAATTGTAATGTGGGTTTTGTGGCATTGGAGTACTGAATTTAGTTATTTGTAAATATTGTAAATTTAATGGATTTTGAAATTTGAGTGATAGATGCGATGATGAGCCTCCAAAATCTGTTATACTAGCAGGAAACCCTCTATTAGTTTCAGTTTTTTCCACAGTAGCTGAGAGTGATAGCTTTAAAGTGATAAGAGTTTGAGGTAATAGATCGATATTGATGGTTTTATAGGATTTTGAAATATCTAAATAGGTTAAAGACTCCAATGTTCCATTAAGATAAAGTGGTTTGATGTGGTCATGGATTACAACCAATTTCTTCAATGATTTTGCCAAGGATTCTCTAAAGGGTTGAATACCTTTGCAGAGTGGTGATTTAAGTTTGATACTTGTAATACTGGGTGGAAAATAATAAAAAATTTTGTTGTCAATAGTTGACATATAGCCAATCCCAATTTCGATTTCCTTTAGTTGATTTGGAAGTTGAATAAATGAATGTGGATACGTTGGAATTATTTTTAAAGATTGTAAATTCTCTGGCAGCATTCCTTCTCCAATAATTGGGAAGTTTTCATCAAATAATGTTAGCTTGTATAAATTTGGAGGAGAATAGTTGTGTTTTGAAATAATTTTCCAATCAGAGTATGATATTTCTAAATGTGTTATTCCATAGTTTTGATTTAAATTATATAAGTTACTATTTCTATTATTACCCATTAAAATGGAGCTGAGGTTGTTTTTAACTAGGTCAAAATAGGTTTCTTCGGTTAAAATTTTTTGAAGTATTTTAATATATTTTAAAGTATCTGGAAATTTTAAAACTTTTAAATTAAGAGTTAGCGGACCTCCACTTTCAAATATTAAACTTTTAGTATTTGATGTTAAATTTTCAGTAAACTTGATAAAGTCATAGTTATTTTGCCCTGGTACTTTTACTCTTATTGCTCTTAAATGCTCTTTTTCGTTTGATCTATAAAAATCTTCATATTGATTAAAGCTTTTTCTATAAAACACAATATGATTTAAATATCTTATATAATAAAATATTTTTTCTTTTAAATAAATATTACGATATATTTTAATTAAAAATAAATCCCCAGATTCCATTTAAACTGTATAAATTTATTTGTTATTTGTGATTTATTTAAAAAAAATTAAATAAAAATTGAAAAAAAAAAAAAAAAATTAAAAAAAGATATTATTTAAATAATTTTTTTATTTATTTTATTATACAATTTTGAATTTGGATTGAATATTGAGCAGTCATTATCGAATAATACATATAGATTTGAAATTTTATTTAGTTCTATTGGATCCTTTAATGTTTCATTTTGAGTTGAAATATAAATGAATTCAAGTGATTCTGGTAGTTGATTAAATTTAACTTTAAATTGACCTCTAATGATCAAAGTCTTTATTTTATGTGGTAAAAACTCTTTTGATATCTCTATATTTTCCAATCGGCTTAGGTCAAATGTTAAATCTAGTAATTGTAAATTTGATTGGTGTAGTAGGTTTGAAGTCGTATAATTTAGTATATTTCTTAATAGCAAAAATGTGTGTATGCTATCTAGCTTTAGTGATTTTAAATTTGATTTTGGTAATGAGTGTAATAAAGAACTTGTTGCATTGGTAATGACAGAGTTGGGCTGTTGTAGTGATCCTGTAGCTTCTAGATTTGTGCAGCTTTTAGGTATCGAGAATGATCCATCGGGAAGTTCTGAAACAAATGAAACTTCTTTATAGGCCAATGATTGTAAATTATTAAATTTGTTTTCTAAACTTAATGCAAGATTATCGGAATGACTTTCATAGTTTTGAATTCTTATATTTAAAAGGGTGGATGGTGATGAAAATTTACAATTTAATATTTGTTCCATTGAGCATTCTATTGAGGTTAGACTTGCTGGATATCCGGTTTTGGTTGAAAATATATGATACTCTTTGGCCAGTTTCAATTTTGTGAGGCTTTGTGGAAACTTATCTGCATTAAATCGTTTTGGGTATTGGTCACTTGAAAAATCTAAAGATGATAACGATTGAAATGCGCCATTGGTAAAGAATGGTTTTGCATTTGGAAGATCATCAATAATATTGTTGGGGAAGTTGTTTTTGGGGACAGTTGGAGACACATAGATAAAAGCTAATTTTTTTAAAGAATCCTGAAACCTTTCGGTTTTAATGTTTTTGAAGGGCTTGCTAAAAATACAATAGAATAAAAGTTTTGTAATACTTGATGGTATTTTTTCTAAAATCGATGGATTAAAAGAGTAGCCATGGTTAATCACAAGGGTCTTTAGTTGAGGCGGTATATATATAGTATCATATCGATACTCTACATTTAAGGTAAGAGACTCTAGCTGCTTTGGTAACATTTCTTGGGTAATTGGCTGTGTAATGGGATGACTAATAGTTAAATGTAATAGATTCTTAACTTGGTTTAAATAGCCACCGTTTAAAATTAGACCACTTGCATAACCAAGCTCTAACGATACCAATTCATTGAGATGTGGATTTGAAAAAGTGCTTTTAATAGGTGCATTGCTTTTGTCATTGAATAGCCTGTCAACCAATACTCCAAATTTGGTGACTAGCTCGATTTCATTACTTCTAATATGAATTTTATCACCTAAAACCAATTTCTTTAAAGTAGGTGGAAGATTTAAATTGTGAATTTTGATATTACACCTATTGATCTCTAATGTAGATACATTCGGGGAAATGTCCATTATTAAAAATTGTGCAGTTTCTAAAAACGATATGTTGACTTTATCTAGAAAGTATTTATTTGAGTTACGATAGTGATCTAAAAAGTGGAAAGTTGTTTTGGTATAGCGATAAAGCCTTTGGAAATATTTTACATAGTGCATTATTACAGTAAATAGGTATTTATTTCTGAATATTTTGAAAAATAGTTTGGTGCATGTCTCTATATATTGATTTGACAATTGTGTTGAGACACTAGTTGGTTGCTTTGTTGGTGAATGATTTACATTTGTATTTGAGGATTGTTGAGAATTTGTCGTTTCATTATTTTTATCATTTAACTGTTTATTTTTATAAAAGTTATCAAATTTTTTCATTATATTATTATTGTATAAAAAATTTGAATTTAAAATTTAAAAATAATTTATTAAATTTTGCACTTAAAAAAAAAAATTGTGGGGAAAAAAAAAATAAAAAAAAATTGAAATTTAATTTATTTTTTAATAAACATTAATATAGCTATTATAAAACACATTGTATTTGTTATGTGATTTTATTTATTATAGATTTGTTGATCACACATTCTGATACAGAGTGATTCTATTTCGAATTGAAAAAGATAGAAAATTCTATAAATTGGATTTGATACGTAAAAATTTATTTTGTTGATCTATACCATTCTTTATTTCTAAATAAATAGGCTCAAATATTATTCTATTCTTTTTCCTATGTCTATTCAAAAATATGGATACCGAGATCTGAAAAGGAAAATTTACTTTGGAGTAAAATGAAAAAAAAAATAAAAAATAAAAATAAAAAATAAAAAAATAAAAAATAAATTATTTTTATTTTTTTTTATTTTAATTTTTTTTTTTTTTTTTCATTGGTTTAATATAAATACTTTTTTTTTTTTTTTTTTATCAAAAGTAAACAAATAGTTTAATATATACATACATATACAATACAAAATGCCCCGTATCCTTCATACTATGGTAAGTACAGACAAGTATAAAACTTTACATTTGATTATTAAATTTAATTTCCTAATTTTATAAAATAATTTTAAAATAATAAATAGTTAAGAGTTGGTAATTTAGAAAAATCATTACACTTTTATTGTGATGTTTTAGGTATGAAATTATTACGTAAGAGTGAAAATGAACAATACAAGGTAGGTTTGTTTTTAAACAAAAAAAAGAAAACATTAAAGGAAAAACTTTATTAACATTTTTTTTTTATAATTATAAATAGTATACTTTAGCTTTTGTTGGTTATACTGATGAGGACGAAAATGCAGTTCTCGAATTAACTTATAACTGGGGTACTGAAAAATATGACTTGGGTAATGCTTTTGGCCATATTGCGTAAGATATAATTTTTTATAATTTAATTGTAAATAATAATGAAATATTTATAAATTCTTTTTATATAGTATTGGTGTTGATAATGTTGCAGAAACAGTAGAAAACATTAGAAAGGCAGGTGGTAAAGTTACTCGTGAAGCTGGTCCAGTTTTAGGTGGTACAACTGTTATCGCTTTTGTAGAAGACATTGATGGTTATAAAATTGAATTAATTCAAGACGATCAAGCTACTCAAGGTTTAAGAAAATAAATTAGGTTTTTAATAATAAAAAAAAAAAAAAAAAAATTTTCAATAAAGATAAAAAACAGATTTTATATTTTTGGAATAAAACTAAATTCACACATTATTATGTGATTATTATATTTTATTTATTAATTTAATAGGTATAATACTATTAATTTTAATAGGTCCATGTTGGTTGAAGGTGGTCGGTATAGATGGTACTGCAACCATTGAATGCGTCGATTTGTGCAACTTTAAAGGTATGGGCACTTAATGGATAGCAATATTCACGACATTCTAATAAGTTTCCTGGGTTGTTTGGATGGTTGGAAACACAATTGAGGACTAATCTTTCGTAGTCGAATCTAAGACATACTCTTTCACCAGTGTAGGTCAAGTAGGCCTTTTTATTGTAGACTCCGTATGTGATAGTTTGAATTTGACCTTTAACTATAGAACCACTCCAGATACTAAGACACTTTGGGTTATAGTTTGTATCAATGAAGCATCTATCAAGATTAATTGGGAGGCTTGAAACCAATTCACCACCGTCTAAAATTGGATTGGCAATTGGACAGTCAAGAGCATTAATGGCAATGGAGGATAAAATTAAATTTAATATTAATAAAGAAAGAATATTTTTAATATGCATTTTTAAAAGTTTGTTATTTGTTTAGTTTGTTAATGAATAAAACAAATAAAAAAAAAAAGAGTTTAAATACTGAAATATTTTATTTTTTTCGAAATTATTTTGTAATTTAATTTAATTAAAATCAAGTTGTGTAAATATCTAGGTCATTTTTTAAGTTATTATTTTAAAATCTATTGTCCATTAAATGTCAAAAAAATAAATTAGTTTAACAAAAAAAAAAAAAATATTTTTCAAATAAAAATGGATATTTATTAAAAAAACTAAGTCGCCAACAAAGATTTTTTTTAATTATAAAAAATAACTTAATTTGATAGTTTAGATAAAAAATATTATTTTTTATATACAATAGTTTTTTTATTAAATTCTTTATCAAATAAACTAATAATATCAGAATAAATTGATTTTACTACCTTAAATAAAAAAAAAAATAAAAACTATAATAATTTATTTAGAATTATGTTTAATTATAAGTAAAAAAGAAATATTGATTATTATACTAATATATGGCTATCGGTTTTTTATATTATTATTGGCTATATAGTAAATAAAATTTAAAAATTAAAATTTAAAATTTAAAACAAAATTAATGGTGAAATAATTGAACCCTGATATCCACCCTTCATCTTTGGTGACCTTGTGTAATTCGAATTTTGCTGTGTTATTTATAAATTGAACTATTTTAAAAAAATTAATATTAATAAATAAATATATAAATTAGTAATTATCTCTAAAACTTACTTTGGGGTGAAAAAAGATTTCTTTTATGATTAAAGAGACTATAAAATAATATGCATTGGCTAAGTATTTCACTACAATTATAAACTAAAGAAACTTCGTTTTTAATACTATTTATATATAAGTCAACATTTATATCGAATGGTCCAAGTTTAAAAACCTGTGGTGTAATTGATACAACTGTGTTTGTTGTTTTTGATTTAATTATATAATCTGGGAAATTAACGATTTCCCAAACATAACTGAAGTTGAAATTATTCATGCCCAATTCTTTGCAAAAATAGTTGAGAATATTGATTTGTTTGTTTTTCTTCTCTAATAATAAAAAGCCACATTCATTGTGACCAACTTCTGAAAAATGGACATTTTGATTTTTCCTTAAATACCTTTTTTCACACCCTGCTTCTTTGTATTTGCATTCCATCACTGTATTTCCGCATTCATTATCTGTATGTTTATTCATTTCACATCTAACTACATTTTTATAGCATTTCTGAATGCATGGGACTGACTTTTTTGGACATTCGCTAGAATGAATTGGGATATAACTAATTCGAAAATCCATTCCACAATCACTACATGATATAAATCTGTATTCGCATTCCTTAATATGATCTTCTAAAAGTTGTTTTTTAAATCTTTTTGTGCAACCTTCTTTACTAAATTTACAATCTATAATTTGAAATAAGCATTTATCCATATGACTTTTTAAATTTTCTACTAGTAAAACCTCTTTACATCCATTCTCATCTTTGATTTGGAAATTTACCTGTTCTAATGAAAATGGGCAATGAATCTTGGTCTTTAAAAATAAATTCTCTATAGTTCTATTTCTTGATAGCTCATCAATTGATTTTACTGGAACTCTACATACACAGCACTCTTTCTTTCTAACTAATGAAGACTTCCAACACTCTTCACAAAATACATGACCATTTAAACACTGACGCATTAACTTATTGTATATTATTTCTGAGCATATTTGACACATAAAATCTTCACTATCTACACTATCATTTTTTATTATTAAATCTTTAATACAATCATTTATATTTGTCATTTTTTATTTACTATTTTATAATTATTAAAATTTTGATTTAATATTTATTATTTTATTTTTGATGGTGATATTAGTAAATAAAAAATGAAAAAATTTTACAAAAATTATAAAAAAAATTAATTTTAATTTAAAAAAAAATAAAATTTAAATTAAATTTTTTTTAAAAAAACAAAAATTATTTACGTAATTTATAAATATTTATGAATTCCTTCAAAACTTAAAAAAAAAAAAAAAACTAAAAAAAAAAAAAAAAACTCAAAAAAACTTGGAGTTCAAGGAATTCATTAAAATCAAATAAAAGCTTTGTAAATTATAAAAACATATGAAAAAAAATTATAATTTCCCCCAACCCCCAATGATATATTTATAAAAACATATGAAAAAAAAAGAAAAAAATGAAACAGTGTTGGTTTATAAAAACAAAATTTTATTCGTCTAAAATTTGATTTTTTAAATTTTTGTAAATCTTTGAACGATGAGTACTTGAATCATTTGAATTAAATACTCTTATTAGATTCGAATATTTCTTCATAAAATAAGAATCTCTTAATACTGAATTGTTATGTTGAATCCAAATCATTTCTAGTGATTTTGGTAATTCCAAAACTGCTGGTTTATAAATACCCCTAATAATCTAAATGCATAATAAAAACATTAGATAAATACAAAATAAAATTAATTAATTAATTACTATAATTATTTAACTACATACCAATACTTTGATATCAGGTGGTAATATTTCTTTTCTTATTGGTGGACTATCAAATAATGGTGATGCTCTAAAATTCAAATCTAATAACTGGACAGATGCAGGAAATGGTGATGATAATGGTGTTGATTCGATTGCTTTTTTCATTAAAAACATTGTGTAGTTTTCGTCTAATTTTAGTGTTCTTAAATTGCATTGTAATAACGGCCATGAATTTTCGTCTTTAAAATTGTGATGTTTGAAAATACTATTTAACTCTAAATTAACAAAGCAATCTGGTGAAGAGGAGTTTACCAATTTTAAGAATGAGTTTAAATGTTTTTCAAAATATAGAAATCGTAATGATTTTAAATTTGGAAACTTTTTAAATAATTCTATAGAGCTGTTATTATTACCATTGCTATTGAACGCATTGTCACTATCATTACTATTGATACTATCACCATTATTATTATTATCTTTGAAATAAGTTATTTTTAAATATTTTATATTTAAGGAATTTTTAAATTTTGAAAATAAATGAATTGAAGACCCCTCTAAACTTGTAAGGCTTGATGGAAAACCTGATTTACTTGAATGCTCTAATACTATATCTAAAGGCAATCTTAATTTTACTATTGACTCTGGTAAAAAACCTGTATTAAATTGTTTACAGCTTTTATTATTTGATAAATCTAATGATGTTAATTTTGATGTAAAGGTATTTGATAAATTGCAAACAATATTATTTAAATAATCTTTTGGTAATGAATAGGGAATTTGATTGATTGAACTATTATTACCATTGTTATAAATAATACTACTACTATTATTATTATCAACATAATTATTATTATTATTATATGAAAATACCAATTTTTTTAAATTTGAAACAGCTTCAACATTAAATGGCTTAATTGATGGACTTTTAAAACCACGGTATAGTAAGAGTTCAGTAATACCTGATGGTATAAAATCTAGTATTATTGGATCTAAGAAACTATTGGATGTATTTTGTAATGAGACTTTAAACTGTTTCAAAGTTTTTGGTAAATATATTACTGGATAATGGTATTCTGAATGAATCTCTAAGGATTGTAATTGCTCTGGGAGCATTCCTTTGGTTATTGGTCTGGTGATTTGATGTCGAATGATTAATCTTTGTAAGGTTGGCGGTAGATTTTGATCCAATAATACCTTTTCATTATTAAAACCTAAATCAAAGCATGTTAAACCACTGAGCGGCGATATATTTGGTGACTTTTTTATTAATAATCTATTGAGGAAGTTTGATGATTCGTTAAAACTCTTTAAAATTGTGTTATTGAGTATTAAAGATTTCAATGTTAATGGCAGAACCAAATCTTTCATCTCTAATAATTTGCCAATGTTCCTTAGCTCTAGAGTATCTACGTTTGCCGGTAATTTCTTTAAAAACGTAAGCAAGCTTTCGTCATCGTCAAATGTACCATCTATAATTATTGAGTTTAAATAATATTTATCTTTTGATTCTCTAAATAACTTTAATTTCTTAAATTCCTTTTTCATATAATACTTTTGATTTAAAAACCTTATAAACCTTATAATTTCTTTTCTTATTATTTTATTCTTCCAAACCTTTAAAAACAATTTTCCTAATTTATTATTATTATTATTATTATTATTATCATTTATATTATTATTTATATTATTATTTATATTACTATTATTATATACATTATCATTTTGATTAACCACTATTAAACTACTACAATTTTTATTTTTATTATTATATACATTAAACATTTCTTCCATTTTTTAACTATTTACAATTTTGTTTATTTATAATTTTATTTATTTTGTTGATGTAACCCTATCGATTTTTTTTTTTTTTTTGAAAAATTTAAAAATAAATATTTTTTTTTTTGGGGATATTTTAATTTGTTTTGATTTATTTCCACATTCTCTTTTTTTTAAGTTTTTTTTTTCTTATCATTAAATAAACATAAAAAAAATAAAATTAAAGCATTAAACTTTTTTTTTTTTTTTTTTTAAAAAAAATTAAAAAAAATAAAAAATAAAATTTTAAAAAATTAATTAAAAAAAAAACAATTTTATAATAATAACCCTTAAATCAAATAATGAAAAAAACCTTTTTAGTGCGATATTAACTGAAACAATTTTTGATTTTAAATAGATATAGATTTCGTAATCCATTTTTTTTTTTTAAAAAAATAAAAAAAATTGAAAAAAAAATTGTAAAATGTGTGATATTCAAAAAAGATTATACGTTTTATTTTTTTATTATTTAACATTATTTATATATTTTTTTAATTTTCGATATAATACTGAATTTGAATATTTATTTGTTTTTCTATCTTCAATGTCATTGTATGTTATAATGAATTTGGAAATTTCATTCATTAAAACTGTATCGTTCAAAATTGATTTGTTTTGATCTGAAATAAAAATACATTCCAAGTTATTGTTGAAAGGTGGTAAAGGTTTTGGTGTAAAAGTGCCTCTAAGAACCAATACTTTGAGTGACTCTGGTAAATTCTCTGTTGAAATTGTAGTTGGATTTTCAGAAGTGTAAATTGAATTGTTGAAATCCAAATCTAGTAATAAACAAGTTGAAGGAAATGGGCATATTGATTTGTCAAGAGAAATCTCTTTTATAATGGAATAGGTTTGAATACTTTCTAACTTTAATGATTTAATATTATTATTTGGAGCAAAATTAATTATATTATTATTGGATATATTGGTTGAATATGATATCATTTCTAAATTATTTATAGTCTCTGGTGGATTGAATTTAAATTGAGAGTCCATATAACAATAAGTTTTCATTGATTTCACATTTGGAAATTTATTAGATAAAAAAGAACCCTCTACAAAAAGCAAATGGAAATGGAGCTTTAAAGTTTCAATGTTTCCTGGATTGTTAAATGGATATGCTACTATTTTTAATGGGCCTTCGATACTTGTGAGACTTGCTGGTAAACCACAACCTTTTTTAAATTGGTCCATAAAAAAATCACCAATTTTGAGGGTTTTTAAAGTTTGAGGGAAATAGTTTGGATTTAGATTTTGAAAACCAATAATACTATTGGCAGAGAACAAATCTAGATATACCAAACCAATAGGAAAGCCTTGAACATAATTAACAATAGGTGGATTAAAAAGACTTAAAATTTTTGACTTTGATTTGAAGCAATTTTTGTTGACTAGGATTAGAGCTTTTAATCTCTTCAATGATTCTGGTAAAATATTTGAAAATGACTCCACCGGCTCTTTGAAATCTCCACATAAATAGAGATTTGTAACACTGTTTGGAACACATTTTAATATTGATACTGAGATATTTTTAGAACCCTTTTCAAAGTGGAGAATCTTCAGGTTTTCGGGTAACTCCATGGCTGGGTGGTCATAGTTAGATGCTATTATCAATGATTTTAGTGATCCTGGTAAGACCCCCTTTTCGATCTTATGCAAATACGCTTTACCAAGTCTTAGGCTCTCCAAATTTGGTGGTAGATAGCTGGCCTCTAGCTTTTTTGAAAAAGTATTACCCACATCAAGTGATGTCAATGATTGAAATGATGGTAACGCTTTAATTTTAATATTGCCTGGTATTTTAAACTTTTTTAAACTGTTGAAAACCTTTGCATACTTCTCAATCTCTTGTACCTCTTCTTGAACATCTGAAAATCCATCTGTAACAATACATATCTTGTCTAGATCCAGATGTTTTAATGTTTCTGGTATATTTAGTTCTTTTACATTAATTTCTACAATTCCGGAATCAAAAGATAAACTAGAAACATTCTCTGGCAAACACTCTAAAAACCTTGGAAGCTCTGCTATATCCTTATAATCAGTTTTTATAATAATTGAACTTGTGAAATATTTATCATTGCACCAATAAAAATTTGAATATTGATCATAATATTTTTTTAATAAATTTTTGAAATTCAGTAATTTTAAAAATTTTAAAATAATTTTAAATATAGTTTTGTTTTTTATTAATAAATAAAATAGTCTGTTATTGTTTATATCATAACTATTGACAATATTGTCCATTTAAATATAAAATTATTATAAAGGTGAGAAAAATAAAAAAAAAATTAAATTAAAAACTTTTTTTATTAAAGCCCAAAATTTTGAAAATTAACAATTTTACAAAGAAAAAAAAAAATTATCTTTGTTTGTTAATTTGTTATTATTATAAATTATTGATTTTATGTATATTTCTTTATTTATTTTCCTTTTATTTATTTTTTATTTTTTTTATCATTTTTCTAATAATAAAATTTGTGTGTTGCAAAAAAAATCTTTTTTTTTGTAATTTTTTAAAAATTTTATTTTAAATTATTTTTTTATTTTCTTTTCTTTTTTTTTTTTTATTTTTTTTTTATTTTTTTTTTATTTTTTTTTTTTTTTAATCGTTATATAAAATTTTATACAAATCATTGTTGTTATATTGTGTACAATTAATTTCTTTTTTTTTTTTTATAATTAATTATAATTATAATTAATTAATTAAAATAAAATAAAATAAACAATTTTTGGAATAAAAAATAATAAAAAAAAAGGTATAGAATTAAAAAAATAAACTTTGTTTTTGTGTAAAATATTGTTTTTTGTATTACCCATATAATCAAAACTATAAATAATTTTTTTTGGTGTTTTTTTTTGGTGTTTTTTTTTTTTTTTTGGTTATACACCAACAATCATTAAAAACACCATCATATAAAATAAATTAAAATTAAAAAAAATATTATTATATGGAATAACCCCCCTATTACAATATCAATAAAGTAAAAAATAAAGCTGTTTTAAAGTAATAAAAAAAAAAAAAAGTGTTATTTCCAATATTAGTATAATTATAAATAAAACAACCAACATTATAAATTACAATATAATAAAAAACTGCCTCATTGAAAATAAATAGAAAAAAATAAATATTAAAACTGCAACATTATAATGACTGTTCAATCCTCTCACATAATATCACTACCACCTTTTTAATCCATACATTCAATATAAACGCACACAACACACAAACACAACTAAATACATATAAATAATAAAAAACACACAACACTTTAAAATTTTATATGATTACGAACACACATACACACAATAAATTAAGATATAAACATACATAGATATAATAACCTTTTTACTAATAAAAATAATACCACACAAGAAAAAAAAAAAAAAAACATATAAAATATATACATTTACCTATAAAAGTTTTGATATTATATTTTTTTTTTTAATTTAATTTTATTTTTTTATTTTATTTTCACATTAAATTAATTTATATAAATACTAACAAGAAGAATTTTTTTTATTTTTTTAGTTATTTTTTTTTATTTCAATTTTTTTTGTAATAATACAATACCAATTTACTTTAGGAAATTTAATAAAAAAAAAAATATATAATAAATATATAATAAAAACAAAACAATAATATAAAATTTAAATAATAATAAAAAATTTTATTTTGTACATATATAAAAAAAATTCAATAAAAATAAATAATAATGAAAAGTATTTTTAGAAAATCAGTACAAATTTTCAAAGATAAAAAAGATAAAGATGGTGTATATATAAATAATAGTGGCGGTAATAATGATGGAAATGGTAGCAATAATGGTAAATCATCACCATCATCCTCTTTATCCAAAAAAGATAAAAAAAATAAGCATGGAAATAATATAGCCAATACAGATTTTAATAACGAATACAATCAAGGATATCATAATGGTAGCATTAGTAGTAACCATAGTGGACAATCACCAACCCTAACACGTGAGGATAGTATTAGTAGTTACAATTCTGACTCAACAACAATAAGCGCAGCATCGTCACCACCAATATTTATACACAATCCTAATGCAAGAAAAGTATTTGGTGTACCTTTATCACAGGTACCATGCAGACCAGGATCAAATGTTCCAATTATTATAGAGAGATTAGTTGATCACATCGAAAAGACATCACTTACTACCGAGGGTTTATTTCGTATACCCGGCCGTGAAGTTACAATTAATCAATATATAAACTTATATAATAATGGTGAAGATGTCGATGTTTCACCAATCGAACCATATACTGCCGCCGGTTTACTCAAAAGATTCTTTAGAGATCTTCCTGTATTTGTACCTCAATCAATTAATAGGCGTGTAGCTTCTCTATTTGTCTCTGAAGATGGTAAAAAGAAACCATTCGATATGGAAATACTTGGCAATCTTAGAATATTAGTACATCAACTCCCTACTGTTCACTTTGAGGTAATGCAGGCACTTACAGGACTCTTGGCAAAGATTATGAGTAAATCTGACGAAAATAAAATGACAATTTCAAATATAGCAATTTGTTTAGTACCAACTTTAAATTGTGTACCCGCCATTGTAACCTATCCAATTCAATATTTTAATTTCTTTTTCAACGAAATTTTCCAAGAACATCATATATACCATATGAGACCTTATCAAACCAATCGTAAGTTTTTTATTTTTAATAATTTTATTTTTAATAATAGTTTATAAAAAATAAAATATTAAATCTATTTAAATTTATTTAGTTATATCAACAGCTATAGAAGAAAGATTAGAGCATTTATCACATTTATCCACACAACCAATGTTAATACCAAATAATAATAATTCAGATGTACAAAAAAGATATTCAAGACCAGCTTCAATTACAATTTCTGGTTTATTACCAACTCAGAATCAAAGTCCATCTTCTTCAACTATAACCTCTACTACTATAACCTCACCACATGATTCTACCACCCCAATAACCTTTACTGTTACTACAACTTTTTCACCACAGGACCAACAAAATGGCTCACCATCACAAATACACCAACACGCCCAACAACAACTCGAATCAGGCAGTGGTAATCAGCAACCAACCAATACTTCGACCAATGCTGCTACAACAACAAGCAATAGGGATCGTAGAACTTATAAAATTGATCCAAATGAATATGCTCAATTTTTAGAAGAAACTCAATATAATATAAATAAAAACTATTTACATGGTGGTAATACTTCAAATAATCTTAGCCAAAGTAGTAGTAATATTTCACCATCAACAACCATAACAAATAACAATACTAATAACAATAATAATAACAACAATAATATTAATAATAGTTATGGTAGCAATAGTAGTGAAACAAATAAATTATATAGAAGAAGTGTTGCATATACTGGTGGTAATATTGAAACTAAAGCAGCTATTCAACAAATTAAAGAAAAAATTGATAGATACTCTAAAGAAAAGAAAACAAGAGAAGATAAAGAAAGAGAAAAACTATTACGTTATAGTATTGATTTAGAAAGATACAAAGATAGATATAATAAAGAAAAGAGAAGTAGTAGAGACATCAACAAAGAAATTGAAAGAGAAATTGAAAAGAGACTTTCACCAAGAGAAAGACTTAATTTACTTTTAGCTAGCAACAATGGCACAATGAATCTCTCATCATCTGTAAATTCAACATTAAATAGATCAAGCATTTCAGGCTTATCATCATTAATGAATAGCGCCAATATTAATGATACAAGTAGTAATAGTGGTAGTAATAGAAGAATGAGTATTACCCAACAATTACAAATGCAGTTACAACAACTTCAACAACAACAACAAGCTTATCAACAACAACAACAATCCACCACACCCATGGGTCTTAATAACAACACAACCACAACCTCAACAACAACCAATTCGAATAGATACTCGTCCAATAGATATAAAGCAGTTGGTGACTTGGCCTCTTCTTCCTCATCATTCCGTTATTCACGTGAAATTTACGACGATGATTACTATTCAAACAATAACATGATGTTTAATAACAATTTCAATGATAATATGAGTTCAATATCTGGATCATCAGCATCAGCTTTTTCACGTCAAAGATCACAAAGCTGCTTCGAACCAGAATCATTAATTCAACAACTAACACTCCAACAACAACAATATCAACAACAACAACAACAGCAATCATATCAACAACCATATCAAATGAATCCACAATACTCAAATGCCTTTATAGAACAAAAATTAGATCAAATTAGAGATACTATCAATAACTTGCATAGAGATAACAGAGTATCAAGAGATTACACTCATTATCTTAGAGAGGTCGAAGATTTAAGAGAAACCCTTCAAAAAGAAACCGTTACTACCGAATTCTTTGCAAACAAAAACCAAGAGCTTGAAGATAAATTGCGTCGTGAAGAAGAAAAGAATAAAAGACTTGTCGAAGAAATTCAATTACTCGAAAGCTATTTCGTCCTTAAGGAAAAATCAAAACTATCAAAACGTTTATCAACTAGATCAAGATCCCCAACATTACATGGTTCATTTAACCATAATAATGACCCTTTAAATAGCTCCTCCAATTCAATTCATTCTTATGTATCAAATAATGTAAATTTAAATCAACAACAAACTTTAAATAACCCAAATAATAATTAAAAGAAAAAAATAATAACCAATATTAATCCCCAAATTTAATATTAAAAAAAGAATTTAATATTTTTTTTTAATATTTATATAATCGAAACAATAAAATTAAATTTTTAATTGATATTATATTTTTACAAAAAAATATATCAAATATTTAAAAAAATTTAATAAAAATTGATTAATAACAAATATTTTGTAATATAAATAAAAAAAACAAATAAATAATTTATTATTTATTCGTTTTATTATTTGCACATTTAAAAATATTTGTTAAAATCCAATAATTATTGGTAATTTTATGTGAAAAAAAATTATGTTGGTGTATATTTTAAAACCCATCAATCAAACAATTTATTATAAAAATTGGGTTTTTTTATTTTTTTTTTTATTTTTATTTTTATTTTTTTTTATAAATCCCCATATTGAAATTTTTTTTTTAAAAAAATTCATTTAATATTTTATTTATATAACCAATTATTATTTATTATACAAACTATATTCTAAAATGTCAGAAGTAAGTGATAATTTAGTTTTTATTTTTTTTTTTTATTTATTTTTTTTATTTATTTTATTTTTTTTATTTTTTTTATATTTTTAAAAACTATAATATAATCTAACCCACTGCTTATTTTATTGATGTATAGTTATGCACATATTGTCAAAAAAAGGTTTTTGAAGCCGAAAAACAATTAAAAAATGGACAACCATTCCACGGTGCCTGTTTACAAAAACACTTAAAAGATGTTAAAAAACCATTAGTTGGGTATGTCTTTTTTTTTTTATTTTGATATTAAAAAAAATAATTTTCTAATATTTTTTTTATCTTTTTATAGTTATTACCCAGGTGATGCTGATCGTGTTCTTGGTAGCAATTTTAAACATGGCCAAACTCAACAACAACAACAACAATCATAAGAAAATCATTTTTAGTAATATTATTATATTTATAACCTACTTATTAGCCATTTAATAAGTTGTAACAAATTCTGTAAAAAATAAAGAAATAAACAATTGTAAATTTCAAATTAGCCAAATTTTTTTTTTTAAATTATTTCCTTTTTTTTTTTTTTTTATTATCTAAACCCAAATTTATATGAATATATGAATAAATAAATTTGAAAAAGAATTACATGGTATGTATTATTTTTATTAAAACAATTTTATTATTATTATACTTTTCTAGATTTAAAATTTAAATAATAAAAAATAAAAAATAAAAAAATATTTTATATCCACTATCTGTTTTTATAACTCACCTTTTTGTTTTTATAAAATAAAAAAAAAAAAAAAAATATTTTGTTAAAAAATAGTTTTATTAAAAAAAAAAATAAATAAAATATATTTTGTTTTTAAATAAAACGGAGTGCAAAAAAGATCAATTTTCTAAGGTTATAAAGTCTTTTTTTCTTAATTAACTTAAATATCTTTGGTTTAAACAAAACACTTGCAACTCAACACCCACATTTTCAAAAAACACTGTTTTTTTATATTAAAATTTTATTTTGGCAAGAAATAATACAACAATTGAACTATTGTTATAAAAATTAATATATATTAAAAGAAAAAAAATCCATATCAATTTCTTTGCAAAAAAATTTCCCCAATAAAATTTTGTGAGTAATTTTTTTTTTTTTCGCTCATAATTTTTTCTATGGGTTTTTTTTTTTCTGTTGTGTGGATGGGTCCAAAAAAAAGTCTTTTTGGTGTGCAAAATTTTTTATATGGCGCCCCATAATTTAAAATTTTTTTCAAAAAAATTGTCTTATTTTTTTTTACACAAAATTTACGAAAACGATAAAAAAAAAATTTTATGTAAATTTATTTTATTTTTTTTAAAAAACGAAAAAACCCATAAACTATCAATTAATGCCAAATGGTTTTATAATCACATAAATAATTCTTATCAAATCAGACCTTACTCTTTGGATCATTTCTATTAGTATCGTCTATTAAAATTATTCATCAATAATTTTTCTCAAAAACCCCACGGATGAAGATGCACATTCACTTTACATAAGCGGGAAGCCGTGTAATAGTTTTGATTCTATCATTTCTATTATACATTGATGATCGTCTATCTCAGGGATGAGATGGTTGTAAGGTGAAATTCTTACGTGGATAAACTTATTTTAAAAATTAATGAAAAAAAAAACTTTATTAAAACTCACAACCACCCACATATTATATAAATTTATTTCTTTTAGAAATTTTTATTTATATAGAGTGTGGGTGTGTTTTTTTATTATTTATTTTTTTATTTTTTATTCTGTTTTTATTTAAATCGAAATATATATATTTCCATATAAAATATCTTTTTTTTTTTTTTTTTTTTTTTTTTTTTTTTTATTTAATTTAATTTTTATTATTTTTTTATAAATTTTGTTTAGTTTTTTTTTTTTTTTTTTTTAAATTATAAAATAGTAGAAATGTATAATAATAAATAAATAAATAAATTAAATTTATTTTAATAAAAAATCAATAATGTTTAAAATTAAAAATATTTTAAATTGTAATAATATAAATAATATAAAATTAATAAGTTATAATAAAAAATTTATAACTTCAACAACAACAACCACCTCAATAAAAGACATTCATTCAATATCGTTTGATAATATTTTAACAAAGAATCATTTTAAAGGACCATTAAGTAAAGAGGATTTACAGCATTTTAATGAATATGGTTATGTTATAAAGAATGGTGTTATAGAAGACGAATTATTAACGAAACATCAGCATGAGGTTAGAGAATTTATAAGTAGAAATGCAGGTATTAGTTTTGAAGGTTTAGAAATTGGATCCAAGGAAGAATCAGAACATTTAGCATTGGAGGAAAGTAAGCTATCAAACATTTCAAATGGATTTGGTGGTATGATCAATTTCTATCATGGCAAATATGAATATGAAATTAGACAACATCAAAAACTATACGAATGCTTTGTTCAACTTTATGAAACCACCTTTTCAAATGGTTCAAAACTATATAGTGATGAAAATGAATGGGCAAATGAATATGGTGCATTTGATCCACGTCATATGTACATGTTTATAAATAGATGTGGTTTTAGAATACCCAATTTAAAAAATGAATCAATTAGACATCAAAAAGGTACAGGTTTACATTTAGATTGCGTATGTAGTTTTATTACTGTATATTTATATGCATGTGGTTTTATTATTTAATTATTAATTTTTATTATTTATATAGAATCCATTTCATTTATTTCGAGGCGAAAAAGTAAATCAAGATAAAATAATAGAACATGTCCCATTAAGATTTTGGCAACCTATTCAAGCATTTGTTAGTTGTTCCAATACATTAAATATTAATCAAGGTGGATTTTGGACCGTACCAAAGTTTCATAAAAAATGTGTAGAGTATTTTAAAAATCATCCACAAGATAACTCACTGCACAAAGAGGTGGATAATAGTGGTTCAGTTGGTTTAAAAAGAGGAAATGCATTCGATTTTCAAGATAATAAATATCAAGATGTAATAGAATCATTGCAATATATTCCAATAAAAAGAGGTGATGTATTGTTTTGGGATTGGAGAATGCCTCATACCAACGATACAGTTCATAATGGTAGTTCAGTTAGAGAGGTGGTTTATGCAGCTCACTTACCAAAGGTACCTATTAACGAACAATATGCGGAACTTCAAAAGAATTGGTATTTTACTGGTAAGCATCCAAACTATGTCACTAAAAAATTTGCAAATTTAGAAACTGTAAATTATAATCCACCAAATTTAACATTATTAGGTAAAAATTTATTAAAAATTAATCCTTGGTCAAATTAATGAAATAATAAATAATTAAATTAAGTTTTTCTTTTATTTTTTTTTTAAAAATATGTACATGTTTTTATTTATTTATTGGTTTTATTATTTTATAGAGTAATTTTAATTGAGTTTGATAACTCTTGTTTTTTGTTGATGGTTATTGTTAAAAGACCATCGGTGTATTCTGTTTTGATGTTTGATAAATCTAATGTAGATAGTACTCTAGTTAAATCTAAATATCTTTTGAAATTACCAAATGATCTTTCAGATAAATAGTTTTTGTTCTTGAATTCAGTATTTTGGGAACTTTCGCTAGTTTGTGATGTCTCAGGAATTGATCTTTTCTTTTCACCTTGAATGTATAGCTTTGAATCTTTAATTTCTATTTGAATATCATCTTTGTTTACACCTGGTAGTTCGGTTTCAATAATAAAAGAATCTGTTGTTTCAACAACATCAAGTTCTGGCTCGAACCCAATACCATATGGCTCTTTATTGTTTAAGGTATTATAATGTTGATTTAATAAGATGTCAAAAACAGTTGCCATTTTTTAGAGTGTTGATATTTATTTATTTATTTAATTTAATTATATATATTATTTTGTATGTTTGTTTATTTATTTAAATTTGAATTGAAATGATAGTTTAAAATTTTTTAAATGGTTTTATAGTAGTTCTGAGTTGTCATTATTAAATTATAAAAAATTATTTTAATGGGTTTTATAATATTTTAAATTTTTTATAAAATTTTTATTAAATTTTTTTTATATTTTTTTAAAATTTTTTTAAATTTTCATAAAAATTTCAATAAATTTTTAGTTAATAATAAACTAAACATGACATAATCACATATTATTTAAAGAATTTTAATAGAAGAATGGACTTTGATTAGCTTAAAATATTTAGAAATAAAATAATTGTTAAAATACAAAAAAAAAAAAAAATATAAATAAACAAAAATTTTTATTTTTTATATCATTCAAATAACAAACAACAGTTTTATAAATAATAGTTTTATATATTAATTTTTTTAAAAAAACAATAAAAAATGGCTACAATTTTTGATATCTTATTAAATCAACATTTAAATAATAATAATAATAATAATAAATACCATTGCACTAAATCATCACCACAAACAACACAGGACCAACAACAACAACAACAAGAAACAAAAGTAGAAAGAATTGATTTCTTACCAGAGTTAGATGTTGTCGAAACCAAAGAGTCATTAATTATTGAAACTGAATTGGCAGGTGTAAGCAAGGATGATATTCAAATAGAAATTAAAGATTCAAAATTATATATTCAAGGTGAAAAGAAAAGATCAACACACAAAGATGATAAATCAAATTTAACCTCTGTCCAAACTGTAAATACAACTAAAGATAATGAACCATCAATTGAGGAATATGAAGATACCGCCACTACATTACAATCATCAGATAAACAAACCAAATCGGAATTAAAGGATGCTAAAGAATCAAAGAAACAAGTTAAAAAGTATATATCTGAAAGATCATATGGCTACTTCAAAAGATATTTAGACTTAACTAGAGTATTATATACATTAGATTTATCAACTATCAAAACACAATACAACAATGGTCTTTTAACAATAACCATCAATAAAAAACAAGACTACTCAAATACAATTAAAATTCACTTATAATAATATTAAACTAAATAAAAATGTAAAAATATTAAAAATAAAAATTATTTGTTTAATTTAATAATATTATATTTATTCTAATTATATTCTTTTGAAATGTGTTTAAATAAAATCATTCACTTTTTATATTAATGCTTTTAATTAAAATATATAAATACATAGTCTTATAGTATTTATAAAACATTTGTTTCATCTGAAAACACATTTGCTTCACATCAACCCATCGATATGATACTTACTCTTTCAAATATGGACATTCAAACTATCCATGTAAGTCCATGTGATTGTGTACCTCATAGCAGATGTGAAGTTTCTTTAAAATTTGAATTAATAGGTTCGTTTAATCATTGAGCAGTTCCAATGTCCAAACCTTTATATTTTGGCAATAAATTTTTAAAACAAAAAAAAATCATTTATATTAAAAAATAATAAAAAATAGTTATTGTGTTTTTATTAATCAAAAAAGATTTTTAAATAGCCCTGCAAAAAAAAAAAAAAAATAAAAGGATAGTTTATTTTTTCTAATTTAAAAAATTTTATTTACAACTGTTGATATTATTTATTATACACTTTATTTAATTTTTTAATTATATT